GTCACACCCAGTGATGCACAGGGGTTACTCCTGGCTCTGCACTCAGGAGTTATTCCTGGCGGTGCTCAGGGGACCACATGGGATGCTGGGAATCGAAGCCGGGTCAGCCGCGTGCAAGGCAAACGCCCTACCCGCTGTGCTATCTCTCCAGCCCCCATTTTCTACTTTTCGACCACACAGACTCTGCTCACGGCTCACGCCTGACTCTGCATCCAGGTGCCACTCCGGGTGGGGCTCAGGGGACAATATGGAATGTCAGGGATCAAACCGAGGATGGCCACAACAGGCAAGACAAGTGCCTTAACCCCAAAACTATCTGTCCGTCCCCCTTTAGAGCTACACACAGCCCACCCACTCCTGCCTCTATCAACTTCATTCTGTTGTGGAACTGACCTGACTTTTATTACAGTTCTACAGGTTTTATTTAAAAACTGTCAGTGCTGGGCCACAGAGACAGAACAGGAGTGAAGGAACTTGCCCTGTGAGAGGCCACAGCAGAGCAGGTAGGGAGCTCTCACCTTGCACACAGCAGCTTACCCAGGTTCAATACCCAAGCCTGCAAGGAGCGATCCCCGAGTTTAGAGCCAAGAATAACCCCTAAGCACTGCTAGGGATGGCCCCAAAACAAAAGGAAAAAGGCTGAACTGAACAAGAATGGGGGTAGGGGGGCTGGAGAGACAGAACAGCAGGTTGGCACTTACCTGGAACACGCCCAACCCAGGTTCAACTCTGGCGGCCCATAAGGATCCCCCGGGCACCACCAGGAGCAATTCCTGAGCATCGCTGGGTGGGACCCTCACTCCCCACTCCAAACAAACAAACTTGCCTTGCGCACAGTCAACCTGGGTTCAAACCCTGGGACCAGCCCAGCCCTGCCAAGGGTAATCCCTGAGCACGGAGCCGGGTAAGCCCAGAGCACCCCAGACCTGTGCCGAACCGAACCAAAACAAGAATGGTCACGCTGCTCTCCTTCCTGCTTCCTTCTTGGCTGGCACGGTCTGCCTTCTCCCCACCGCTGCCTTCTGGGCTGGTCAGTGGGCGGCATCTGCCTTTCCCTCCGCAAGTGGAGACCTGCCGGTTTCCCACACGCGTGCTCCTTTGGGTTCTCGACACCGCTGGGAATTTCGCTATTTCTGCCTCCCTCGGACCTGGCTGGGCCCCAGGCCCCATGCCAGCAGCCCTGCCGTGAGGAGCGGCTCTGCCTCTGGAGCAGCCTGCCTCACACAGGCACCCCACACGCGCCCCACCACGCAGCCAGTCTGTGATCTGTGTGGGGTCTGATGGCCCAGGATCTGTTGGATCTGTGGCTTTGTGGCTGGGGGTCAGCTCGGGTGAGGGTGACACCCCGAAGAGTTCCCTTTGGCGGCCTGTCTGGCTTCCTGCCCCTTTTCACTCCCCGAACCACCCGGGCAGTGTCGGGAGGAGCGCAGGAAGCAGCAGGGACCCCCACCCCGTCCTGGCAACCCTCCTGCTCTAACCCCTCCCTGGGGTCCTGGGTTCTGCAGACCCAGGCGGCTGCCGTAAATAGTCTGAGGGCGGGGTGGGAGCTGAGAGTCGAGAAGGAGAGGCTGGGCAGGCCCGCACCCTGGCAGAGTTCCCAGGACCCCCGTCCACACAACTGCCCAGCGCGGGCTCTGGGCTGCCCTGCATCAGGGCAAATGCCGCGGAAGGGGCGCTGCTCCAAGTCTGTTTCCTCCCGGCCTGCCTGCAACTATTTCCTCGCAGGTTCCCAAGTCGCCCTCACATGTCGCTGAGCTGAGCCTCAGCACAGCACAGGGAAGACCCCTCCACATCCAGCCCCGGCTGCCCAGGCCGTGCCAGAGATGCAACCAGGGTTGCCCAGGGGTCCCCAGTCCAGGCGAGCGCCCACTGTAGCGTCTCCCCGGCTGGCCCCAGATCTACAAGTCTTTCTGAAACTGGCTCTGGTTCACTTTCCACAGGTGTGGGGAGGAGGGACACGAGAGTGATTTTCCGTATTCTGGGGCCGGAGAAACAGGTCAGCAGGGAGGACGTCTGCTGTGAGGACACACACGTCCAATCCGGGTTCCAGCCCAGACATCCCATATAGTCCCCGAGCACTGCCAGGAGCAGCCCCTGAGCATTACCAGCAGTGGCCCAAAACCCGAAATAAATAAACAGAATTTACTGTACACCTGTAGCTGAACTTGCAATAAACTTGAAATCCCCCCACCCCACTTTCCGGCCTGGCCTCTGTGCAACTCATGCTGATCCATGACTCTCTAAGCACCCAGACTTCACAGAGCCAAAGATGGGGAGAAGGAGTATCGGTGACGCTGCCCTGGATTGGCCGCCTTCTGGAATTCTCTTCACCAGTGAAGAGCTGACTTGAAATTCCAGAAGGCCATCTGAGACATGCAGGGCACCCACACACAGGGACAGGGAGAGTCCGCAAAGGTCCAGTCATCACCACCAGCCATGTCAGAACACAAACGCCCCGTTCCTGATGGTGAGGCCGGTTCATCGCCAGCACGGAGAGTCAGTCTGAAAGATTCGCCCACTGCTCAGAGCACCCCCCAAAGCTTACAACCCTTGGAGCCAGAGCGTGAGACAGCGAGGAAGGTGCCCGGACCCAAGTTTCATCCCTAGCGCCACAGAGTCCCCGGAGCCCCACCAGGAGTGATCCCTGAGCACTAACGAGCATGGCTCAAAAACCAAAAAATTCAAAATAAATTAATAAAACAGGAGTACATTCCCCACTCCCAAACCGCCAGACCCAGGACCTTCCAAGGCCCTTTGCTGTAGGGCTGTCCCTGCCCGGCTCTGCCTGGGCTCTGCATCTTCCATGTGTCACCTCTTCTTAAGGCTGATGGCACAGCCAGTCACCTCCAGACCTGACCATCAGCCAAGAACCTGCCCAGCTGCAGGGCAGGGTGAGAAGATGGGGGAAGGGTCCTCAGTTCTGGGTCTGAAGGGGTTGGAGGTCTGAGTGCACCTGAGGGGGTTGAGGGGGCCTGAGGGAGCTGAGGGAGTCTGAAGGGGCTGAGGGGACCTGAGGGAGCTAAGGGGGATAAGAGGGTTGAGAGGGCTGAGGGGACCTGAGGGGTCTGAAGGGGCTGAGGGGTCTGAGGGGGCCTGAGGGAGATGAGGGGGCTGAGGGGGCTAAGGGGGTTGCGGGGGCTGAGGGGACCTGAGGGTCTGAGGGGGCTGAGGGGGCCTGAGGGGGCTGAGGGGGTCGGGGGCTGAGGGGGCTGAGGTAGCTAAGGAGGCCCGAGGGACTGTGGCAATGGTGATCAGTTCCTCCCAACTCTGCCACACAGAAGCCCTCACTTTTCAGGGCGTTGAATCCCCTGAAATGTTGTTCTTTGTCTCTCTGTGTCTCTGCCCCAGAGTGCTGGTCATTAATGATGACTGTGGCAGGGTCTCCTCCATGAGAGGCGTGTGGCCCTCCTCGGCCTGCTCTTGTTCTTTAAAGTAAACTTCCTTTCCACAACCTCTGAGAAACCTGAGAAGCCCAAAGCACAAGCAGCGTTTCCTTCCGACTCGGATGCTGAGTTTCACAGACCTGAGGCCAAGCAGACGCGTATCCAGGACGTGTTCTGATAACTAAGAGCCCCACAGCACTGATAGGTCTGTGGAGGGTCCCCCAACCCACCCGAGCCTCCTCCCCAGCAGACCCCCGTGAGGGTTCGTGGGGCCAGGCAGCTCAGGTTACAGCCTGTGGCAGGGCTCAGCACTCAGCGCTTTCATCTCCAGTGTCAAGTTGCCAGATAAGCTGACCCAGCCGTTCAGCCACAGGAACTCTCCGCTTCCAGCACAGAATCCACACTTAGAAGCAACAGATTGAAGGGGCCGAAGTGACAATACAGTGGGTAAGGCATTTGCCTCACCCATAGCCGACCCAGGTTCAATCCCTGTCACCCCATGTGGTCTAGCCAGGTCTGGACCCCGAGCCCACCAGGACTCAGCCCTGTGTGGCCCCAAACAAAACCAAAATGACTGAGAATCACAGAGCAATTCAAACACCATGTCCGGGTACTAGAAGCTTGGGGACAAATCTGAGAATGCAGATTTCTTTAAAAAAAAAAAAAACCCAAGTGTGTCCACTTAGACCCCAAAGAAACCCCGCATGAGCCACGCACCTGATCAGCCAAATTTTTAAGTGCAAGCTATTGCCAAACTTCAAGAACCTACAGAAGTGACCGGCGACAAGGAACCTCCCCGGGCTCTCTGCTCGCACGGCCAGAGATGGCCTCACATGGCCACCAAAGCAAAGCTCCTTGCCACAGCACAAAGAATGCCGGGTGTGGACAGCTGCCCCGCCGCCCAGGCCAGCAGCTACAGAGGGTCCGCGGCCTAGCAGGCGTGCAGCACCCACAGTCACCCTGCCTGGCTGCGAGGCCTCACTGCACCTTCCGCGGGACAGCCCCGGGCTCCGCAGGCGGAAAGCCCCTCTGGCCCGAGTGCCCTGCCCGGCCCCTCAGCCACTGGCCAGCGTCCCTGCAGCTCGAGCAATGTGTGCGCCTGGATGCACTCTCTTCTAGCTGCCATGTGGGGAGCAGGTGAGGGCACTGGCCACTCCTGGTCCCCGGGGCTCCTGCCAAGAGTCCACTGACAAACCAGCCGTGGCCGGACAGGGGGCAGAGCAGTGGGCTGAAGCAGGCTCCGCCTGAGGGAGGACCAGCACAAACAACACCCCCTCAGCCCTCACGCTGGCGCAGGATGCCGGGGAGCTGGTGGCCTCACGCCTGCGGGCTGTCGCCCCTCCACAAGGAAGAGGGGAGGCAGCTCAGAGCCAGCAGGAGGAAGGCCAGCCCATGTTGGGCTATGCGGGAGTGGCCCCGGGAGCCAGGTGTGGGGCTGCGGCATCAGACAGGCGTGACGTCCGACAGCACGTGCACCCCAGACCCAGGTCCCAGCAGCGCAACCTCTCGGGGTCACACGGTGCAAAAGGCTGACAGTGTCCGCCCGGGCCATAGGGTCCCCGCCCCTAGCCCCCGTGGGGTTGCCATACGTGCAGTGGCCTTGCGGGCCTCGAGTACCTTCTGCGTTTTCCTGGACTCTTTCTGAGCAGTCTCTCGCAGTGACACTTTTCCAAGTAACTTCCATCCCAAGTCACTCTGTTTGCCAAGTCTTGCATTTTGTTTTCTAGCAAGCAAGTTCCTATAGAGAGAAAGTAAGAGGGTTAGAAAGGTGCTGGGGGCAACCGTGAGGGAGAGCGGGGCAGACGCCCTTCGGCGGACACGGGCGCTGCCCCCCCTGCACTCAGAGACACACGCAGGAGCGGCCCGTGGGATATCACGAGCTCGACCTCCAGGGCAGCGGGAGAGTGAGGGGTGGGGCTGTGCCCAGTCCTGCTCAGGGCTCCCTCCTGGTGTGGTGCTGGGTTTGGCCAGCCGCGTGCTGCTGAGTCCCCGGGCCCTGGGGAACTCCCCTCGTACTGGCTCCATGGCCAGGCCCTCACCCGCATGAGACTAGAATAGTCTGCCCGGGCCTGGCAACCACCTTGAGGCTGATGGTGGGCACACAGGAGCAGCTGCTCTGCCCACAGGGTGGACAGGCTTGGCACCACAAAGAAGGTGCCGTGCAGGGGCCTTTCCTCCCGTGTCCATGGCCAGCAGAGATGCCTGGGACCAGGGGTGTGGTTGGCGCAGTGCCAGCCTCACCTGCGGGTCCTGACATCGGTTGCTGCCCGGTGGGAAGCGGGGATACCAAGCACGGGGCCCGGCTGGTAGAAACATGGTAGCCCAGCCACAAGAGACCCTCCGGGACAGATCACAGGCTGGGGGCCCAAGAGGAATGACAGGGACCAGCGGGGAATGGGCAGCCCCCTGCAGAGCAGGGCCATGAGAGAGACCAACGCTCGATCTAGAGTGGAAGGACACAGAGTACCCTGGTGACAAGTGTCCTTCCTGAACCCCTGCCCTGCTTGCTGGATGCCAGGGGCCTGGGGCCTGGAGCGTGGCAGGCAGGATGGCCACTTGCAGGCACAGGGCGGGACAGGGTGGGGACACCCTTTCCATCCACCGGCACCACAAGGACAAAAGTCTGCCCAGGGAGGCACTTCCGCAGACGTGAACCGTCTTCACCCTCCACCCGGCGGTGCATGTCCCCAAGGCGGGGAGCGCAGGAGCGGAGGACAGGCCCGGCCCAGGCCGGCTCAGCAGGTCCCACAGGTCCAGACACCCAGCAGGTTCTCAGAACTTCAGGGCGTCCTGGGAAGCAAACTCGGGTCCTGCTCCCTCGAGTGGCTGCGTCTGGACCCGGGGATTCTCGTGCCCTCGTGCCGGTGACGGATCCCAGCGCCCCATTCCCACGGGACCCACCTGGCACCTTCTCCCCATGTCTCAACCGCTTGACAGTGGTGACTCATGACCTCAGAACTGTGGGGTCCGTGCAGCTGCCGCCCGGGTCGGGGAGCCACACAAACAGTGCAGAGCAGACGGGGGGTGGGGGGTCACAATGTCAATCCCAGATGCTCCCCTCCCCCCACACACACAATCAGAAGTACCCAGAGCTGGAACGCAGGAGGGGTCTCCCTGGGAAAATGTGCCGAGGGAGGGGGCGGGGCGGGCCCTGCACCAGGAAAGCACCTGAGAGGGAGCAGCCCCCCGCCGGCCAGCCCCAGGGGACAGCTTGCACAGACCTGTCCATCAGGAGAAGCGCTGGGGACACAGCCATGGCAGCGGGAGCAGCAGCTCCGTCCCGCCTCTCCGCCTGCAGGTCAGGCTCCTTCCTCCTGAGAGGAAGCTGAGAAGGCGGGGCCGGCAGGCAGGCGGGCACAGGGCGGCACTGCAGGGAGGGTGGAGCCTGGCAACAGGGGCCCCAGCAGAGAGCCTGACCCTGGGCCCCTGACCTTGAGCCTGACCCCGGGCCCCTGACCCCAACAGAGAGTCTGACCCTGGGCTCTGGCCCCAAGAAACTGACCTGGGCCCCCTGAGCCCTGGCCCCTGACCCCGAGCCTGACCCCTGAGCAGCCTCATGCCCTGTGCGGCCCAGGCTGTGAAGGTGCCGAGGATGGTGTGCGCCCCCGTTTCTGGTCCCCTCACAGAGTCTCCCTCTTTCCGAAGGTGACGCCATACCGACAGTCAAGGCCAACAAGAGCCCCCCACAGAGCAGATGAAATTGGCGGGCGGATGCGGGTGGGAGCGAGTGCTACCCTGAGCCGTGGGCAAGTGACACAGCTTGGCCAGGCCCCATCCCTGGCACCATGTGTGGGCCCGGGTCAGCCCTGAGCACTGCAGAGGGTGGGCCAAAGACCAGAACCCTCCGCACCACCACGAAAACCCCCAGGGGTGTCCACACGGGCGAGTGGCTGGCAGGACAGTCGTGGGGGCAAAGAGAAAATCTCACTTCTGCGCAACAGACGTCTGGGTGCGGGCCCCATCCCAGAGGAAGGCTGGGGCTGACCCCAGAGCAGGCCACTTCCTGGACACAAACCTGCCGGGCGAGTCCCAGAGACAGAACTAAGCAGACAGCGGGGACAGTCCAGCACCAGGCCCGCCTCGCAGGACTGAGTGGACACAGAATATTGCTGGGCCAGCAACCTGAAATGCAAAATGCCACTCAAACACAGAAGACAGAGGTCAGCTGGGAAACCCGGGGGATTCCCAAGCAGCGAGACTGGCCAGGCCCCCGCCAATCCAGCAGGCCAGTTTGGGCACGAGGACGACAGGTGTCCCTGGGAACTGACTGGAAGCAGGTTCTGGAGCGCCACAGAAACCCGGGACTGGAACCTGGTTCCCACACGTCCCACAACATCCTGAAGACGACGCCGGTGAAACCAACCGCACCGAGAACAAGCCTGGGTGCGGCGAGGCCTGACGGATGCAGTGGGCAGGGCACGTGCCTGGCACGGAGCTGGCCCGGGTTCCATCCTAGCCCTTCCGCTGGTCCCCTAAGCTCCTCTGGGCATGGCCCCAAACCAAACCAAAGGCCAGGAAAACAAAGTTCAGCTGGACACAGGGGCAGGGAAGGCTGGCATCAGGGTGGATGGGAGAAGGCGCCCGGGAGCTGCAGACCAGACCGGGGAGAGCGCCGGGCCAGGCCGGGAGCTACCGGGACATGGGCCAGCACAGCGACCCTTGGGAGCAAATGACGCACAGGGAAGGACCGCGCAGCCCCTGGGCGCATCAGGGTGCCAGCGGCATGGAGAGACCAGCGAGTCCCGTGTGCGCCTGTGCCTGTGCCGCACCCAGAGTGGCTGCTGGCACGGAGGACAGGCTCATCCCTCCCTCTGTGTCTGGCGGCCGTCCACGTGTGTCCCGGCCCCGCGAGGGCAGAGGGGCTGAGGGGAAATGCCAGAAATGCACCAGCATCTGGGAGCATTCGGGGTACCCCACACGCTGGCCCATCTCGGGGACAGAGGCCTGGACATCTCCGGCCCTGTGTGTCCAGAGATGGGTGCAGCGGGGGGCTTGGGCACAGGGCGGGCCCCCACCTCCTCTCCCGGGAAGTTCCTGCAGCTCCCCGCTCGGGCCCCAACAAGCCCCTCAGTGAGGCTGCCCGGACAGGGGCCAACAGCCGGAGGGACCCACAGGCCACTCGGTCTGTCCCGGGTCCCCGAGGCAGGAGGGGACAATCTAAGCACTGAGCTGGGAGGATCCACCCAACTCCAGCCCGGGCGCTGCAGAGAGCACGGGGTCAGCCTCACAGGCCTGGCCTGGGTTTGAGCCCCGAACCCCAAAGGATTCCCTGATTCTGCCAGAGCCGGGAGTAAGCCTCAGCACCAGGTGGGGCCCCGAGACAGAAATGAACCCAAGGAGCCACGCGTCCTTCGGTCACCAAGGACAGTGGTGTTGGCTGGGGAGACAGTGGGACCCAGGTGACCGGGTCAGGAGGTCGTGAAGCAGGAAGCACCCAACCCCCGTGAGGTGGCATGCTGCCCAGCCGCCGTGGCGGGTCTCCTTCATATCAGCCCCGGGGACCCGTTTCCTTTATGCGGGCAGGTGAATGACTCGCAGCCGGGAGCCCACAGAGACTCAGGATCACAGGGGCAGCTTTGGGGGAGGGTGGGAATGCAGGGCGGGCACTGTGCCTCCAAATCATCTGAGAGGCTGCCTCTGGGGGCGTCTGGGGGCATCTGAGGGCTGCTACGATTTGTGGTCACCCAGGGAAAGCGCCTGGGGGCTGGGGGACTCGCCCAGCTCTTGGATGCTGCTGCTGACAGCTGGAAGGGTGGGCCTGGCCTTCCCGTCCCCAACGGCACAGGTCATGCGCAGAGCTCAGAGAAAGGAAGGAGGGTTACGGAAGCTGGTGCAAACAAAAGTGAGGAGTGTAGGAAGCCAACGCGGGGTCAGAGAGAGAGAACAGGAGGAAAGGTGCGAGCTTTCATGCAGCTGACCCTGGTTCAAATCCTCAGGGCCACATATGGTCCCCTGGGCACGGCCAGGGGTCACTCCCAAGCAGAGTCAGGAAGAGCCCCTGAGCACTGCTGGGGGTGGCCCCTCCCCCCAGCCAAAATGCCTCTGGATATTGTGAAACAGAAATAACCATTCAGAACGTGTTTATGGGGATGGGAGCCATAGGACAGCGGGGAGGCGTCTGCCTTGCATGCAGCCAACTCGGGTTCAGTCCCCGGCATCCCATGTGGTCCCCTGAGCACTGCCAGGAGTGATTCCTGGGAGCAGAGCCAGGAGTCAGCCCTGAGCATCACTGAGTGTGACACAGAAACCGAACAAGCTAAAAGAAAGTGTTCATGGGTCACCTTCCACAGCCGCCATCACCCATGCCCGGCTCTTCCTATCACGGCTGGCTTTCCCGAGGGGACGCGAGTCAAGCAGTTAGAATTCATGGATACTGGCCCCTTTCGAAAACTCTGGGATGCCCTCCGGAGGGGACAGGCCGAGCCCCCACCCTGAACCCGATAGCCCGCCCACACCCACACCCACACTGCCCCACCATCCCAACCCGGCCCCACTGAGAGTCTCTGCAGCGACACCGAACTACAAAAACCCCAGGTACCCTGTGCCCGGGCTGTGAACTTGGGGATCTTCCCGGAGTCAGCGTGGGTGGCTTCCCAGGATTCCTGCACCCTGCACCTCCCGCAACCGCCCAGTTTCCAGATCCTAAAGCTTCTGGACCACACAGCACAAATCCCACAACCCCTCAGCCTAGCAGGAGCCCAGCAAGTTGAATGGGGATGACTCAGAGCAGTCAGCAAGGCTCAGCAAGCAACACCCGTGGCCAGAAGCTCAGCAAACCTGGGCAAGGACTTAGCCCCGAGGCGAGAGGAAAAGATTTCCAGATTTTCTTCTAGGAAGTATTTTTTGATAATTCCATTAGCCATTTAGTTGTAACAAACAACATAAAAGAAATGATTGTGTGCCTGCTAAGGTCGGGAAAATGGTGACAGTGGTGGACGGAAGGTCACCTGGTGAGGGCTGGGGCTGGAACATCGAGAGCCCCTAACAACGGTCTAAGGAGCAACCTTGTAAACCACGGCGTTCAGATCAAGTATTTCATTTTTCAAAATAAGTGTTTATGGGGGCCTGGGCACTAGAACAGCAGGTACGGTGCTTCCTTGCACTTGGCCGACCTGTTTGATGCCCGGTACCGCCAAGAGTGGTCCCTGTGCCAGCCCTGTGCGTGCTGGGTGCGGCCCCAAATCCTGGAGGCTGGAGAGAGCCCTGTGGGTGAGGGACTCGCCATGCTCACACGTGACCCGGGGTTCGATCTCCGGCACCACTGTGGCTCTTGGCCCGGCTGGGAGTGATCCCTGAGCACCGCCAGGTGCGGCCCCCAAACAACAGAAAACCATCTCTGTGAAAGGGGGTTTCTCGGCCCCCACGGCGGCACCAGCTCTGCAGGCGAGAGTGTGAGGTGGGCAGCTGGGGGGCTGCGGGGGCAGCCACAGTCTGGGAGGCAGATGATCCTCCCAACGCGAGCAGACCCGACCCTCGCGCACTGCACACGCGGCCTTCCTGGAGCCTGAGCGGGCAGGGGACGGCCTGGCTGCTCCAGGGAGCCAGACCCCAGCAGGCCTGGACCCTGCCAGCTGGGCTGGATCCAGAACCCCTCAGGCCATGCCCCGGGGTTTGGAGTTGGTGGAGGGGAGGACGTCCGGGGCTTCGGGTTTTGGGCACAGCACCCACAAGCGCAGACACAGATGGTTGTGGACCCCGGCCCAGACCCCCACTTATTCTCTGCTTTAGAGATGCTGGCTCCGGGCCCAGGGCTGAGAGGTCGGACAGCGGGGAGGGCGCTGGCCTTGCACACAGCTGACCAGGGATTTGATCCCCGGCACTGCATTTGGTCCCCGAGCCCGCTGGAAGTGACTGAGTGCAGAACCAAGAGAAGCCCAAGTACCACTGGGAGTGGCCAAAAACCCAAACAACAATAACAATAACAATGATAATAATAAATAGTTTAAAAGATGAAAGTAAGGATACTGGTTCTGTAAGACCAGAGGAAGCTCAGTGGCAGGCCCTGTCCTTGCATGCAGCCTGCCGGGGTTTGATCCCCTGCATCCCACAGAGTCCCCTGAGCACCGCCAGCAGCAACCCGAGTGCAGAGCCAGGAGTCAGCCCTGAGCACTGGTGGGTGTGTCCCTGATCCCCGCCCACAAAAAGAGATGCTGGTTCTCACAGGGTGTCTAAAAGGGGAGGAAGCTGGTGCAGCCAGCGGGAGCCTCCAGGGCCGAAGGGGCCTTTCCTGCTCCCCCCCGCAGAGCCAGCCCCTGCCCAGCCCCCCCAGCAGGGCCTTCATCTCACCCTAGAGGAAATGACCTGCCCCCCCAGTGCTGACCCCCTGCAAAGGTCTGTTTCGGTTCGGTTTGCCGCCCCTGGCGACGCCCAGGGTTCACCCCGGCTCTGTGCTCTGGGGTGACTGGCGGGGACCCCCAGCTGGCGGTGTGGATGGCCAGAGCGTCCCTGCTGCAGTCGCTCTGGCCTTCTGTGCCCAGTGAGAGGACATAGCAGGGCAGATTAGGCAAACCTGGATGAGTCATCAGAAACCACAGGCCAGGAGGCAGGGGAACAGCCCCCATGGGAACCACGGCCACAGCCCCGCCAGGGGAAAGCACATCCCCGGCTGTGATGCCCGCAGGAGGGTGAACAGGAGCCAGCTGAGGTCGTGGGCAGGTGGCTCGTGGGTGACCAGAACCCCCAACTGGCCTGTTTCATACCCTGCCCGCCCCCAAGGCTGAGCAGCCGACAAGGCGCCAAAGCCAGAGCCCGAGCAGGGGACACGTGTCCCCACAATGCCGGCCCCCGGGAGCAGGGGACCTTGGAAGGGCAGCTCCTTGGGGGGAGACAGTGGAGCTGCCAGCGGCTCCCACGGGGGCAGCAGCCTGTCAGGCTCAGAGAGGCCAAGTGACTCCTCCCAACATCACACATATTCTAAGTGGGTGAGCTCACACTGAAAGTAGCCAACCCAACTGCCAAAACAGTTACACACACACACACACACACACTCAGAGGCACACACATTCACATACATACTCACATACACATACTCACTCACAAACACACACACGTGAACACATAAACTCACACACACAAATACACACACTTGCTCACACACACTCATACCAACACATGGTTCAGTCACCTGTGTCCTGGCTACACAGCCCACTCCCCCACTCCCGCCCACTCCCACCTTCGTCTGCTCACGCTCATGACCCACATTCCCACACCCACTGACATACATGCACTTACTCAGGCCCACACAGCCCTGCACGCTACACACACACATACACACACACACACACACACACACACACACACACACACACACACACACTTACCCCATGCACACCCTCGTCCCTTCCCCACTCTCCCCCTAAGCCGAGCCGACTGTGGCCACCTCTGCCACCCCACTCTCTACCACAGGATGGCAAGCCTGTGGGGACAGGGATGCAGGCCACTTGGAGCACGGCAGAGAACCAGCCCCAGCTCTGCCCCCCCCCCCCAAACCCCAGCAGCTTCCAGACCACCAGCCACAGCAGCCCACCGGGCTGCAGAGCAGAGGGCAGGGCTTGAAGGTCAGTCACCTCCTCCCACAGCATGGCCACTGCTCCCCAAGGCCCCAGGGGCAGCTCCCAGCTGAGCAGGTCCTGGGAGCTCGTGTCCTGGAAGGCTGGACACGAGTAGGGACGGTCCTTCCCGCACATACCCAGACCTGCTGAGACCCTGCCTCTGGGCGTCCCGGACTCCCCTCCTGCCCGCAGACGGGATCCGGGCCACCGCCTGGGGGCGCCCCCATGTCCTTTCCCAGACACCCACTCCCTGTGGTCCCCACGCCAGTCCCCTGCCCTCTGTCCACATCAGCAGGGCTGGCCAGGTGACACCACACTTGGTCCGGAGAGGGCACAGGACTTGTGAGCCCACCAGCCTGGCCCTGCCAGCTGCAGTGGCCGCCCGGGCCCATGCCCCCATGGCGAGGCCCAGCCCCCACCCCCTTTATCGGCCCTGGTCTGGGGGCTTCTGGGGCGGGCCGTGCAGAGCAGGGCAGTGTGCGGCCAGCTGGGGGGCCCATGCAAGAGCATATGGTGACCCAGAGGGTCACCGGGGCACTAGGGCCTGCACCCCGGGTCAGGCAGCAGGGCTACAGGCCGACCAGCACCCGAGCCCCACTTCTCAGCAGAGCAGGCCTCAAAGCACCAGCAGAGGCAGCTGGCCGGAGAGTCGGGGAGTGCCCAGGACACAAACAGGGTGGGGGGGGTTCCCAAGAGCAAGTCTGGACACGATAAGCCAGGCAGCCCCGCCCGCCCCGCAGGACCCCCAACAAGGCGCCCCTGACCCAGGGAGCACCTCGGGCTGAGCTGGCCCGGCTGCAGCCGCCTGCCTGTACCTGGACAAAAAGCTGCCGACGGAGCCCAGCAGGCCCCGCTTGCTCCCCTCGTCCGCTCCGTCCGCTCCATCCATCCGGTCCTCCTGCATGGGCGCCCACAGTGCCCCGGGTGCGGCCCTGAGCGAGCTCAGGGTGACGTCGGTGAACCGTGGGTCCTCATCGTCGTTCTCCAGGGTGACGATGGCACTGGAGCTGCTGGTGACCATGAGGTCCAGAATGTCCTCGTTGCTGGCTGACAGCTCGGTGCCCAGGCTGGATGCGCTGCACAGCGAGCCATGGTCACTGCTGCGGGCGGTGCGGGCGCCAGGGCTGTAGGGCCGGCCCGAGTCGTAGCCTGTCCTGGGGAACGTGGAGGCCTTGCGCGCGGCTGGCTCGGGGGCACCGCCGGGCGCTTCGGGCATGCAGGGTGGCAGCGGGCACTCGCTCTGGCAGCTGCGCGTGAGTGCTGGCGCCTCCGCCCTCCGGACGAGGCCCAGGCCACAGGGCACAGGCTCGGGGTCACTGATCTCGAGCGTGGGGATGCCCGAGTCCGCCGAGTAAAGGCTGTGCCGGTCCTCCAGGCCACCAGCTGCCCACCCGGGGCCTTGCTCGGGCGCCTTGAGCGTCGCAGGGTGCAGGCTCTGTGTGGGCCGTCCCGGGTGGCCATCCACCACGCCCATCACGGCTGCGCCATGTGTGGAGGGGCCCAGGGCTCCATCACTCATCTTGTTCCCAGGAGAAACTGGGGGCAGAGCAGACAGGAAGACGGAGCTTAGAGAGAGCAAGGCCAGAGACGCCCCTGTGGCCCCCTGAGCAGCCACAGCCCGTCCAAGGCGGTCCTGCAAGACACCCACAGCTGTTTCCAGTGAGAAACACGCCCCAGAAAGCCCAAGGCGGCCAGCGGGTAGGTGCTTGCCCTGGGCGCACCAACCCGGGATCCCCAATGCCACGGTGGGTCCCCCACGACCACCAGGAGTGACCCGAGTGGTGACTGGGTTTCTGGTTATAGCTCACACACTTTTTGACAAAGGGGGGCCCACGGGAGTGGGGAGAGTCTGCCCCGAAAAACGCCACCCCCAGGCAAGGGCTCAGAGGCCAAGCTGGGGGGAGCCAGGACGTGGGGGCACAGGCCCAGAGCAGGGCGGCTGCCGGAAGAACAGAGGAAGACTGAAGCCCAGTGACGAGGGGGAGGCACGGCGGGCACACACTCCAGGCACTGGCCAGGGCTGGGCTGGGAGGAGAGGCCTGCACTGCTGTCCACATTTCGATGCAAATTAGATCCCGTGAGAAGACACCCAATAGTCAAGACACTATTCACTCGAGTCATCCTGAATAGGATTAGCAGAACACTAGATGAAGGACAACCATGTGAACAAGCTGGATTCCGAAAAGGATTCAGTACCATTGACCATATCCACACAATAACCAAGCTCATTGAGGTATCTCGGGAGTTTAAGATGCCGCTCTGTCTAACGTTCATTGATTTAAAGAAGGCCTTTGATTCTGTTGAGACGGAAGCGGTCATGGAAGCCCTAGCCAATCAGGGCGTACAAACTCAATACATCAGGATCCTTCGTGAGCTCTATTGCGGATTCACTACCAAGATCTCACCATTCTACAAAGAAGTAATCATCCATATCAAGAGAGGGGTTCGGCAGGGTGATACCATTTCACCAAAACTCTTCAGTGCCACCCTCGAGAACATCATGCGACGACTAGAATGGGAAAACATGGGAGTGAAGATAGATGGTCGGCAACTACACCACCTCCGCTTTGCTGATGACATCGTTCTAATAACACCAAACATCAGCCAAGCAGCACAAATGCTTGCGGACTTTGACCGTGAGTGTGGAAAGGTCGGACTACAGCTGAATCTTACGAAGACAATGTTTATGAGAAACAGCCTTGTTCCTGACGCTCCATTCGCTCTCAACGGAACCACCATCTCCGAATGCAACAGTTATATATACTTAGGTCGAGAAATCAACATGATGAATGACCTGGCACCTGAGTTACGCAGGAGGAAGAGAGCGGCTTGGAATGCCTTCAAGAGCATTGAAGAAATAACTAAAAGGACAAAGAACCTCCAGCTACGAGCACATCTCTTTGATTCCACTATTCTTCCTGCATTAACATATGCCTCAGAGACCTGGACCCTACGAAAACAGGATGAGAACACTATTCGGGTCTCTCAAAGAGGAATCGAAAGAACTATGCTTGGAATATCACGATTCACTCAAATGAGAGATAGAATCCGGAGTTCTGATCTTCGTCAACGCTCAAGAATCAGGGACGCTGTCTCATTTGCCAAGACATCAAAAATCAGATGGGCTGGACATGTAATGAGGTTTACAGACAACCGCTGGACTAGAGCCATTACTGATTGGATTCCACGAGACATCAAAAGATCACGTGGACGCCCACCTATAAGATGGTCAGACTTCTTCGTCAAGACCCTAAATGATCGGTTTGAGGCTCTACATGTTCCTAAAACGAACAGATACCATTGGGCTACGCTAGCACGCAACCGGGATGAATGGAGACGTTACTGGCACCCACTCAAATAAATCGATGAATAACGGGGATTAAGTGATTAAGTGATTAAGTGAGAAGACACCCAGAGACCAGACCCGCCCGGAAGCCAGCCCGAGCTGCCGGGCACGCTGAGCCTCCTGGGGGTCCTGGCACTGCAGGCGGGAGAGACCTTTCCCTGAAGGCCACGGTGTGTGCGGGGCTGGGGGAGGATCTCCACTTCCGGGGGGGCTTAGGAGGGAGCACGGGGGATGAGGGACAGGGCAGGAGGGGACGAGCGCTGCAGGACTACTGTTCTGCCCTGACATGGCACAGATGGGACAGACAGAAACAGCCTGAGGACAGAAGAACAGACACATGGGCAGACACATGGGCAGACAGACGGGCAGACAGTCGGGCAGACAGAAGGACAGACAGGACGGACGGGCAGACAGACAGGCAGATGGAGTCCCTCAGACATGAGCAAGGGCCTGGTGCATGCCTGTGCCCCAGGAGACCAGCTATGGGTCCTGCCACCCACACTGGGTCGCCGAAGGGACAGAAGTCCAAAGTCTTGACCTGTCCTAAGTAAGAGTGACCACAGAAACACCAGCGCAGGGCGGGTAACTGCCCAGCACATGAGTGGCTGGCTCGAACCCTGGCACCACACTGGGTCTCCTGAGTGGTCCCTGAGAGCAGAGCCAGGAGCAAGCCCTGTGCCCTGGCATGGCCCGGTACGGCCTCAACAGAACAAGACACACTGGGCATCTGCTCGGGGCCCGAGGCCACACTGCCCCCAGCCACAGAGAAAACGGGCAGTGCCTGGCTCACAGGCGGCACAGGAAGGACAGGGCGGGGCGGCCTGAGGCGTCCATAGTCCAGCTCTTCGTCCTCGGGACCAGCTTCGAGAAAAGGGCCAGTGCCAGCCCTGCTCCGCCTGATGCCTGCGCCTCGGCAGGACGCCTGCCCGGGCAGAGCCGCCCTGCTGGGCTGACAGGCTGGGTAACACGGGGAGCGCCCCCCACACCCCCCCCCGCCCAGGGCTCCAGCACGGGCACATCAGCGGGCACGGCGCAGGGAGGGAGAGGTGCGCCCTACAGATGCAGCCCCAAGGCTCCAGCCCCCACTGGGCCCCGCTTCCGCCCCCGGAAAACCATCTGGACCCCGGGAGTCCGTCTGCCCTCAAGAAGCCATGCAGCCCCCCGAGGTGGCTCCTTTTTGCTCCTGAAGAGGCATCAGGGAAGCTGAGCCCCCGTCCTGCAGGCTCATGAGCCCAAACCCCTGGGTAACACCCAGAGAGAGGGACTGGGGCGCCCCTGGCCGGCCCAGTGACTTGGGGCCGCTACGGCAGCCAGGGCCCTCCGAGGTCCGCCTGTCTACCCTCACCACCGCGAACCCTGGGGGGCTGGGCGGGGCTCAGCTCCACCCCTGCACCCGAGCCTCCAGCCCCAAGCCGGGTAGGGTGCCCCCAACAAAAATAACGAGCACAGGGGGACCCCAGCCGTGCTCATTCCCCAGACAGTGTAGTCGGGGGGCAGCAGCGACCTGGGCTGAGCCCCTTCCCAGCTCTCTAGCAGGGGTCCCAGTCTTCCCGCAGACACGCCCCTCCCCCCCCCCCCCCCCCCCCCCGCTGCCTCCCAGCAGGGACCCCGCCCCTCTCCCGGGCACACCCCGTCATTCTCTCCAGGCCTCGGGGGCCCGTGTGTTTCCAGGGGAGCCTTTGGGTGCCAGATGACAGCAAGGATCAGGAGGGGTTTCTGGGAAGAAGAGCTCTCTGGGGTCCCACAGGGCCACCGAGCACGGCCCGGCTCCCTGGGCAATCCAAGCGTAGCAGACTCTCCCGGAGGGCACAGCGCTGACAGCCTGGCACTGCGTCCCTGGCACCTTGCGGCCACGTGGCAGAGAACTGGCCGGCACAGAGCGCGGGGTGAAAGCCTTCTGTGGGGTGCTTTGGTTTGGGGTCGGGGGCTACTCCTGGCTCAACAGCGTGCCCGGACACGCGGGAGACCCATGAAGGGCGGCCAGGTGAGTGTCGGACGTGGCCCTGCGCTCGACCGCGGGCAGATGGGCAAAGGTCGCTCTGCGGGTGAGACTGCGGCACGTGCAGACCAGGCACCACGCGGCTCGGGCCCCACCCAGCAGTTTCCCTCAGAGCTGCATACCCCCGGCCACGAGAGCCCGCCCCATGCAGCCCCCGCCACGAGAGCCCAACCTGCATACCTCAGGCTCACTCCAGGCAGGGCAGTACCGTTCGTTCCAAGGGCCCATCTGGGCACCACCATCGGAACCCCTCTGAACGGTACAGCGCCTACTCCCCTGCCAAATAAAACCGGTACTAAGGCGGGAGCACAGGATTTGCGACAAGAACCCCAGGCTCAGCCCCTGGGACCCCTGTGGCCCCCAGCTCCAAGCCTGGTGTCGTCCCGGGCACCCTCGGGTGTGGGCCCCCCGGAGCAGCAGACACAGGCCCCCAGAGTCTGCGACAACCACAAAGGGAAACGCAGCTTCCTCTGTGCCTCGGCTCCAGGCAGTGACCCGGGGACAGCGGCAGAGCCACGTCATCAGGCAGAGCAGGGCGAGGGCAAGGAGCCCACAGCAAGCCGGCCACGGCAGGAGGCGGCCACGGCAGGTGCTGGCTGGGCTGGTGTTTTTCTTCCCCGTGGCACAGCGGACAGGGCCAGCCAGCTCAGACCCACAATTTTAGCAACTCATTTGCATCAGTAGGCCGGGCTGGGCAGCCACACAGCACCGCCCCGAGGACCCACAACTTCCCCATCTGCAGAAGGAGCGGGCTGGGCACCTTGAGTCGCACACCTGCAGCCCACCCGAAGCACACCCGAGTGCGTCCCCCAGGGGGCTGTGTGCGGAGGCACCCACAGCACCCGAGGGCCTGCCAGTGCTGAGGCTGCAGCGTGGCATCCCCTGGGGTACAGGCCAGGTCCTCAACCTGAGGCCTCTCCAAAGGACAGGCCGGTGCCGGGGCTCTGGGGGAGGCTGTGCAGGGGACACAGGAAGGAAGTTGAGGCAGGCGTGAACAGAGGGTGGGCTGGGGGTGGCCAGGTGAGCTCAGCACAGCCCAGAGCCTGGGAGGTCAGTGAGGTGACGCCTCCGGGCCTGGCCTCCCTGACCATCTGCCCACTCGAAGGGGTAGAGCCACACTGGAGCCAAGTTCCCTGCCCAGGGCTGAGGCTTCAGAGCCCCCAACCTCAAGTGGTCAAAGGTGCTCTGGGAGGTTGTGCGGGGAGTAAGAATCCGTGTTGGAAGATAAGCTGGGAGCCCGGCAGCTGCTAGGAGCAGTGGTGGTCAGAGCCCCCGACCACACCTCCTCCACGTAGCCCCAGGACTGCCGGAGAACAGAAGTCCTGGGTCCCGAGGCCGCGTGCCAGGCCGCCACAGGCCTCAGCAGATGAAAGGACTGTGCCTGCAGCAGTGCCACAGCCACTGGCTCTCGATGGGGGACGGGGTCAGCAGGGTCTCCCCGGGAACACCCACCACACAGGCTGCCCTCGACCTGCAAGGGCAGGACCCTCCACCAGGGTCTCCCAAGTCTGGGGGTGATTCTGGGGATCAGGGAAGGCGGGTCCACAGCTCAGGGACGGAGTTCCCGGGAGGACGAGCTCTGGGGCGCTAGAACCAGGCAGGGACTGGGGTTTCCCGGTTGGGGAGATTCATGCCCCTGTCGGGGGTTCACGAGGTGGGGGAACCCCAGGACGGGGCGGGAGGCACGGGGTGGGGGAGCCAGGGCCACGGGTCGCAGGCGGAGATGGGAGCGTCTGGGGCGCGCCGGGGTCTCGGGTAGAGGAGCTGCCAGGGGCCCGCGGGGCCAGGCGGGGGGCGGCGGTTGCGCGCACCGAGCCGGCCCCGGCCCTCCAGGGAAACTTTGGCCAAGTTCGGGGCCGGCGCGCGCGGACCCCGAGGCCGCAGCCCCGCGCTCCCGATGCACGCCCACCCGCGCCCCGCACCCTCGCGTACCGGAGTCAGCGCGGTCCGGACGCCATCCTCGGGGCCCGCGAGCCCCAGCCCGGGCCCGGGGACCCGCGACTTGCGCGGCCGAGAGCGGGGCGCAGCGGACTCGGCGAGCAGGTGGGCGCGAGCCGCCCGCGGGCACCAGCAGCCCGGCGCGCGCCCGCGGCCCCGCCCCGCCCCTGGCCCCGCCCCGCCCGCGGCCCCGCCCCCGCGCTCGCCGCGCCCCAGCAGCCGGCCCCGCCCCGCGCCCCACCTCCCTCCGGCTGCCGCGCGCTTCCGCCCGGGCTGTCGAGCCCTCCGCGCCGCCGCGCCGCCGCTCCTCGACCCCGCCCCGCGCCCCGCCTCCGGCCCGCTCGCCGCGGCCCGGGGCGGCGTCGCCCGCCCTTCCCCCGCGGAGGGCCGCGCGGCGCCTGAGGCGCTGCCGGGGACCCCTCACCTGGCCGGCGCCGCCCGCGGCCATCTTGGCAGTGGGAGGCGGCGGGGGGCGGGCGCGCGGCGGCAGGCGCGGGCAGCCGAGCGCCGAGCGCGTCGATGGGCGCCGCGCCTCCCCGCGCCCAGCCGTCGCCCTCCGCGCCGAGCCGCGCGCCCCCCGCCCGCCGCCGCGGCGAGCGGCGCCCACTCGGTGGCGCGGACGGGGCCCCGGCTCGGACGCGCCCGCCCGGCGGCGGCGACCCGCAGAGCCGGCCCCGGGGGCGGGAGGCGCAGCGCCCGGGCCCTGCGGCGCCGCGTGCTCGAGGGTCGCGCGGAAAGGCCGGCCGTGCCTCCGGGGTTCGTCTCGAGGAGTCGCTGAGGCGCCGGCCCGGCCTGCGCGGGCGGCGCCAGACACCGGCTGGGGGTGCTGCCGCGCGGCGAGGGGCGGGTGTGCCAAGCCCGCGGCCCGCCAGCGCCCAGGGGCCACTCGCCTGGCCAGAGCGCCACGGCAGGAGGCTGGGGCGGGCGGGCAGCCTGGCTGGGCACAGGCCGGGGCGCAGTGGCTCTGCCCCCAGCCGGACCACCCCTCCCCAGTCGGGGGCGTGTGGCACCTCCCACGTAGGGGTGGGATCGCCCAGGAGCCCCGGTCAAGGGGCACGGGGCTCTCCTCTCGGGCTGGCTGTGCCAAGGGCAGACCCTGCAGGAACCCCGGCAGAGCCCCTTCTGGCCTCGCGAGCCCCAGCCTCCTGCGGGTGTGGCAGTCACCGCAGAGCACGCGGCTCCTTGGGGAAGGCCCAGAGGAGCCAGGCCAGGCCTCCCTCACCGCTGTCAGGAGAGATGGCCACCTGGGACTCGGCGATGTCCCCCAGGACGCCCCCTCCATGCTGGCCCAAGACTCCACAGGCACCCCGGGGCCACCCCTCTCCTCCAGGGTCTCGTGCGCCTGTCAGTGTGTCACGTGTCACTCTGGGGGTTACCCAGTCTCCCCAGTTTCACTCGTGTGTGCATCCTCACCCGAGTCAGAGGAAACTGGCGCTGCCAGAAAACTTTGCCCAGGGGATTGAATCGGGCACTTCAGCACCCAAAGTGCCACTCTGGACGGTCAGGCCGCATGGCTTGGAGCCGAGACCCCCACCCCTGGACAGCAGACTCACCTCCTGTCCAGGGAGAGGCCGTGCCCACACAACCCTTGCTTCTCCCCTCGTCTGCCGTCTCTCCTGAGACCCCACATTTTCTGGCCTCTTGGAAGGTGATGGGGAGAACATGAGCTTCCTCAGTAGGGAAGTGTGGGCGGCAGCCCCCACCGTGTGGTTTTCTGGGCAAGCTACTCACTCTGCACAGCGATTTGCTAGGAGCTGCACCTTCTCTTGAGGAGGGAGCCTTGCCCCACCTCCCAAAGTCACCCCCCAATACCTGTCTCCCATACGGCAGCCTCGGGGCACAGGCCCCAGGATGCAGGTGAGCCAGTAGTGAAGTCCAGCTCTGCGCTGAGGGGGAAGCTGTCCCGCAGGGCGGAATGGCAGGACAGCGCCTAGGACACCTCCCTTGTGTACGGCGGACCCTGGTTCCATCCTGGCACTGCAGAGACCCACGCGCCTGGCACTGCCTGGTGTGGCCAAAAGTCAAGAGGGGCAGCCCTGGGAGTGGAGGTGCTCCCATGGACGCCCACAGGGCGGAAGTGGGAGTGTGGCAGGGAACCTTCCCGGGGGGAGCCAGAGGCGGGACTGGGGTGCTCTCAAGGAGGGCTCTGGGCCTCTTCCGCCCCCCTCAGGGTCTCCCTGCTGCCTTGGGTTTCTGGTGTGGGTACCAGGAGGGGTGCTGGGAGTGATCTTTGCCCAGCACAGTACAGTGTGGCTGGAGCCGCGCTTCACGTTCTCCACACCAGGAGCAAAGGGCCTAGGCAGGCCCCAAAGCTCAGCTGGCTCCCCTGCCCAGCCACACGAGGGGCGGGGTCAGAGATGCACCCACTGCAGCGGCGCCTTCATTTACTCAGCTTTGTTGGGGGTGAGGGGACTCCTGGTTACCTCTGGCAGGGCCTGAGGCCCGGGGTGCTGTACACGCCAGGTAAGTAAGCTATTTTCCTGGCCCCGAGTCCCTGAGTGGTTTGGGGTTTTTTTTAGCTGAGAGCCACGCCCGGCAGTGCTCAAAGCTGTCTCCAGGCTCTGCGCTCAGGGATTACTCTGGTGGGGCTCAGATGTGGTGCTGGGGATTAAAAATGAGTCGGCTGTGTGCAAGGCAAGCACCCTGCCGCTGTACTATTGCTCCAGCTCTGGTGTCTTAACTTTTTAGTCGCCATGATTTATAACACTGTCAATTAAAGGGCTCCCACTCCCTCCACCAGAGCGACCACTTCTCTCCACTGTCTTGGGGTCCCCCTCCCTGAAGCCTCTCCCCTAGTACCCCATGTGTATCTAAAAGCTACAGAAGTTCTTGGCCAGGGGTGTAGCTTGGCAGAACACTTGCCTTGTCAGTACAATCCCTGGTATTGAAAAAAAAAAAGCAGTAAGTTCTAGAAGATTCCCTACCATGCAATAGCTGATCCCCAAATCCTACCTCTCCAACCTCAGGAGGGAGCTCTATCCACCTAGGAAGCCACACTCACCTCCAGGAGGAAACTGCAATCCTTTGGGGGTCTGCCAAGATACCATCTCCCAGCCCCTACCCCGCACCTCCAACCAGGGGGGCTTCTGATGCACTGCCCCAGGCAGCACCCCAAAAGGCAGGTTCAGAGAAACAGCATCCTCTTCCAAGTTGATGACTGAAGGAGGACCCCAGGCTCCGACGATGACATGGAGGCAGGAGCAGCCTGGAAGGGAAGGTGGAGCGCAGGAACGCAGGCTTAGGGGCTGCAGTGGGAGTCAGCAGCAGCCCGGGAGTCCCAGCCGGGTGGCAGGGAGGGCCCTGCGATGTGGAACCAACGTGAGCGTGAGCCCCCACACGTCAGCCTGGTAGAGCCACCGGCTTCCCCAGGCTGCAGAGCTCAGAAGAACCCGTCTGCGGGGGGCCAGGTGAGGTCCTCGGCTTAGGGTGTGTCTGACCAGCGTCTGAGCTGGGGCCTCACCCAGTCCCATCAGTAGTTGACCGCTGGTCACCGATCACTGGTCTCCGATCGGGCACCCACTGCCATGGGCGGGGGTGCCAGGCAGCCTGAGAGAAGCACCTGGAGGAGTCAGGACCCCCGAACACCTGCCCCACATGGGAGGAGCAGCGTCCCCACAGGCTGCTGGGGGTTTCGGGGCGGGCAGAGGGACGGCACTGTGCCAAATGCAGGCTATACCACAGGGTTTTGGCAGAGGTTGGGGGCACTGCCAGAGCCCGGGGGTGGAGGGGGCTGTTGTGGGCCGGTCGGGCAATGAAGGTGACAACTGGCCCTGCAGAGACCACCAAGGGGGTGTCCCGTCACTCCTGAGCAGTGCTCTCTGGACACTGGGGCCACCTGATTTCACAGAACCATATTTTGTTTTGGGACCAACCATCAGTGCTCTGGGCTGACTCCTGGCTCTGCTCCGGGTTCACTCCTTGTGGGGCTCAGAGGACCCTGAGTGCTGGGAATTGAACCCAGGCTGGTGACAGGAATGGCCAGCACCCTCCCTGTATCTTAGCCCTTACTTCGTTCAAACCACTCAGTAAGTAAAGCCCAAGGCGACCTGCAGTGCTCAGATTCAGGGGCCACGAGAGCCACACAGATGGAGCTTGCAAGGGTCGGGCAGTCCTAAGAGGGCTCGGTTTTAGGCCTCCACTGGCTCCGGCCTTTTTTTTTTTTTTTAACTTTGGGTAACACTCAACTGTGCTTAGGGTTTACTCCTGGTTCTGTGCTCAGGATCACTCTGGAGGGTCTTGGGGAAGCCTATGTGGTGCCAGAGAGCAAACCCAGGTAAACCTTAACCTCAGCCATACTCGCTGAGCACAGATGCACAGGCTTCCAGTGCACTGGCCTGACTTCAAAAAAAGAGGAAGCTTCTAGAAATGCATGGGAGAATTTTTTAGACTCAAGGTTGAAAAAAAAAAATGGCCCCAAGACAAGCCCACAGCATGCCCTATGCGCAGGGACACCCTCGACAGCAGCGCCCGCCGCCTGGCATCACCCAGGCCCACACCAGAGCAAGGCAGACAGCTGCGGCCCCGCCCATGGGTGCCTGAACCAATCAGATCCCAGCTGCTCCCAGGCTCAAGGAATCCGGTCGCCCTGTTCTTGAGGGGCTCAGAGGGGCCGGGAGAGCATGACCCTGAATGTGTTTCATGGGTGCTGGGGGCCTGCAGTGACCTTCGCAGGGTGACACCCACGCACCCGCCTCTCTCCACCTCTACAAATACACGCTATTTTCCAGCCCTGGGGACATAGAAATAGGTGTTTTGTTTTGGTTTTTCCCCCAGAACAGAATCAAGGCGTGTGTGTGGAGCTGGGCCCCGTGGGTGGGAAGGTGAGTGTGGAGGGTCCTAGGGAAGACAGACACAGAAAGAGGGCAGGGGAGCGGCATGGGCTGGTGCACAGCTCTGCATGCAGGAGCCCTAGTTTCACCCCAACCCCATATGGTGTCCTCAAACACCACCAGGGCACCTCTGAGCACTAAGCAGCGAGTGACACCCCCCCCCCAATCAAAATTTTAAAAAAGGAAATCCTCCGAGCTGGGAATCCACTTACAGAAATGGAGCTGTGGGCCATGAACCCCTTCACTGGAACTGGGGGGTCTGCATCCCACATTCCAAGCACATCACCCCAGCAGCCAGAGCATGGAACCCACTCTAGGCCCATAGAAAGGTAATGATAGGCAAGGAAGCAGGGATCAGCATGTCGCCCTGGAATATTATGCTGCCATGACAACGACAGGAGCCCTAGGGCCAGGGTTGGGGCTTGGGGGACCAGGAACAACAAGGCAGGAGAGCAATACGGGCTGCTTTCACCTCCATGGGGTGGAAACAAGCTGGCAAGAAATGAGAAGATGACTCTGGGCAACAGTAGGAGGAGGGAGGAATGGACAGAGGTTCGCTCTGGGAGGACTAGCCCTGGACCTCCACCAGTGGGACAAGCATGACTAAAACACAGAAACATCTCAAACGCCCCATCACTATAAATCACTGATAAACCAGAGCAGCAGTAAGCAGGACACCTGGGGACAATGATGCAGGTTATCTGCAGGCTGGGGAACTGGCGACCCCCCCACCCCATGTTCTCCGGGAGGGCGGAAGGCATGGAGCTGGCGCTGGGTCCTTCCTCCCCAGAGACAGGTGCTTCCTGTCTCCTCTTGGCTGGGGCCCCTTACACAGGGACCTTGGATAGAATGAAGATGCCAACTGTTTTAAAGGTTTTTTTTTTTTATTTGGTGTTAACTCCACAAGAAAACAAAAAAATCAGTTACTCTGGTGTACGTGAAATCAGAACGGTACAACCACGGGGAAGACACGTCTCCGGGCGGAAACCGTCCCCCAGCGCCACGCTATACAACGCGCCTCGTACCACAGTGCGTCTCAGCGTTTGGCCAAATTTTTCAACAATGCTTTTTCTTTGTGATCATTCACAAAAAAAGAAAAAAAGAGAGAGAAAGAAAAAGAAAGAAAAAGAAAAGAAAAACCAAAACAACAACCCAAACTCTCAACTGTCGCTGGAAGCCGCCGGGCTTCAGCCACAGAAGGAGGAACACAAACAGCTGACCTGTCCCCGCCCGTGCCTCGCCTTCCCCGAGGAAGCGCGCCCGCAGCTGGGCCGGAGTGCATTTGGTCTCTGCTACACGCAATCACAGCCAGGGTGACCGTCACCACGGCCACTCTAAGGATTTACAACTTCCAATTTGTTTTTTGCCCTTAGCTGTTAAATTATATTTCAGTGCAGATGCTGATCATTTCTCAGGAAGCTCCAGAAGAAAAACACATAAAACCTTATAAGTCTGTAAATAAATAACAGCAACGTAAAACCTTCCACACGGCGCACGCACACACACACACACACCCCACTTAGAAGAGCCAGAGGACGAGCTGCAGGGACCCCGCCCAGCTGGAGTCAGTGGCGCTGTCTACTAGGAGAGGCAACGGCGCCCAGTGCGCAGAGCAGACCGTCCGCGTGCTTCCTGAGGCCGAAGGGGTCCCTGGGAGGCCTCCCTGCGGTTCCTGGCTCCACACACACTGCACTGACTTCACGGGGTGGGAGCGTCTCAAACCAACAGTGAGCTGGTTAAAACAAGACAACGCAAAATGCTCAGATTCTGCAGACAGCTCCTCCGAGCTTCAGCCCGCCACTGTGGCCTGCAGCTGGAGGAGCACTAGGGACAGACAGGGCCGGGACGGAAGGTGCTGATGCTGGGTTCCCAAGGGAAGGTGCTGATGCAGGGTTCCTAAGGGAAGGTGCTGACGCTGGGTTCCTAACACAAGGTACTGACACTGGATTCCTAAGTGAAGGGGCTGACGCTGGGTTCCTAACACAAGGTACTGACGCTGAGTTTCTAACACAAGGTGCTGACGCCGGGTTCCTAGGGGAAGGGACTGACAATGGTTTCCTGACGGAAGGTGCCAATGCTGGGATCCTAACACAAGATGCGGATACTAGGTTTCTAACACAAGGTACTGATGCTGGGTTCCTAACGGAAGGTGCTGACGCTGGGTTCCTAACATAAGGTACAGATACTGGGTTCCTAAGGGAAGGTGCTGATGCTGGGTTCCTAAGGGAAGGGGCAGATGCTGGGTTCCTTAACACAAGGTACTGATGCTTGGATTCTAACGAAAGGTGCTGATGCCGGGTTCCTAACACAAGGTACTGATCCTGGGTTTCTCAGGGAAGGTGCTGGTGCTGGGTTCTTAACACAAGGTACTGACGCTAGGTTCCTAAGGGAAGGTGCTGACACTGGGTTCCTAACAGAAGGTGCTGATGCTGGGTTCCTAAGTGAGACAGAAAGGCAGTCCCATGCCTTCCTGGGGTACAATCACACCAGCAGGAACAAAGACTGCTCTGCCACCCCCACCCACTTCATCCCACCCACACAACCCCCACACACGCCCACACACACCCACAGACACACACCCCCACACATGCCCACAGACACCCCCCCACACACCCTGTGCCCAGACACGCTCTCAAACACAAAAGGGATCCACGCTCCAACCAGCTGCAGACACAGTGACAAGCTGCAGCAGCCAGGATTTCTCTGGGGTGCTGGGGGGCCGCTGACAACGTCCAGTCGAGAGGGCCTCAATGGACTGAAGATGACTAGGAAACAGACCTGCAAGCCAGGCTCTCATCGCATTTTAAGACCCACACAACCACCCTGGAAGGTGTCTGGGGTAAATAAACCGCAGGGTGACAATACGTGGGGTCCTCTCGAGCCCCACTCGGCTGTGCACCCACACCCCGAATCCTTGGCGGTCACGAACATCGTCTCCTCCACAATGCTTCTGTGGCCGGCCCTTGCCACGCCCGCAAGACCCTGGCCGAGACGCCCGCGCTTCCCTCCTGCCTCCAGAACGCCCACTTCACCGCAGGGCACACGCTTCCATGCCAGTTCTCCGAGGTGAGGGCTGGAGGCTGGTGCTCATGACGCAGATGCGGAAGGGCTGTCAGAGGACAAGCACATGCACCCCCATTCTGCACTGGACAACACGATCTAGTCTATGTCAAAGAGCCAAGACTCAACAGCTTGGAAAAGAATCTTCACCACGATAGCTGTCCTCACGCTAAAGTAAGCAAGAAGAGAAAGAGTATCGCGATGGCGGTCGGTGAGTGAAGAGGAAACCGAAGTTGTCTGGGGTTAGCAGCGCCTCTCCGGGTGGGCGGGCACTGCTCTGGCTAGAGATGAGTCCGAGAGAAGAGCTGGCCGCTGGGATCAGCCCACTCAGCCCCGCCGTCCGAGGCTGTGTCCTCCGAGCCGGAGCTGGCGCTCGAGCACAGCCTTCTGCGGAAGCCGTTGGCCTTGGCCCCGGAGCGCCTGTCTCCTGTACACCTCGCTTCACAGACAGAAGACACCTAGGAGGAGAGGAAGGGTTGGCACCGCGTCAGAACGCGCGCGCATGTTCCCGCAGGCGGCCGGGAACTCCGGAGAGTCATGCCAACGTGTGGACTTACCATTTCGAAAGCATGCCCTCTTCTCCCTGATCCGAGCAACGTGCTCTACCCGGGAACCTTCCACAAGGGGATCCTCATGGCTGCCCCGGGGAGCCAGGACGCTGCCAACCACGCCCACGACCCACAGCCTGGGCAGCCACTGGGCTCTTTCCCCTTCTTGACAGGGCAGGGGGCTTGGCTTGGGCCACACAGGGGCGCTCAGGTGCGACGCCTGGCTCTGTGTCAGGGATCACTCTGGGACCATCTGCTGTCCCTGGAGTGGACGGAGCCTCCGTCAGCTGCTCTCAGGACAGTGCCTTGGCCCCCTCTTCTGACTTGGGGTTCGAGTAGCATCTAGAACTTTCTGATGAAACTCTCTGGGTCAGCACTGTGGCCCAGCTGTCTCCTGTCCAGCCCCAGCAACTAGCTCCCCCTCCCTGACATGAGTCACGTGCCCCTGGTCAGTCCCACGATCCAGCCATGCCCCTTCAGTGGTGGGGTGAGTGACCGGCAAAGGTGCCCGCTCCTCACCCTCATCACCAGGGCCCAAGCAATGTCCCCTCCCCTTGCAGTGTCTACAGAGCCCCCTATGTAGTAACTGCAGCAACCTCTGTCCTGTTACAGGGATCAGCAAAGCCCCTCAGCTGGAGTAAGTAGCAAAGCCCCCATGAGTCACCCTGGGTTAGAGGAACTAGCAAAGCCCCTCACCTGGAGGAAGTAGCAAAGGCCCTGAGTCACAGTGAGTGGCAGAGTCCCCGCCATCAGTCACGAGAGGGCCCCGGTCAGTGAGTGAGCCTCCGCCATCAGTCACGAGATGACCGCGGTGAGTGAGTGGAGCCTCCGCCATCAGTCATGAGAGGACCCCAGTCAGAGAGCAGAGCCCCAGTCATCAGTCACGAGAGGACCCCCCCGTCAGTGAGCGGAAGCCCCACCAGCAATCACGAGTGGTCCCTGAGTCACAGTGAGTAGCAGAGCCCCCAGGTCACAGACGAGCACCCCAGCGAGCGGCAGCTTTGGCCTAGGCTGACGCCCAGGAAGGCGGCGAGATGCCCACCCAGAAGGGAGCAGAGTCCCCACTCAGGCTGGCGACAGGGAGCGGGCACATGATCACAGACGCCCCGTGGAGGCCCTGCACACCTGCCAGAGTCGCCTGAAGGTTAGGGGGTGACAGATGAGCCTTAAGGGCCATGCTGTGCGGACAGCACATGGGCGCGTGCCAGGGGGCGGCTGGAGAGCTGAGGGGACGAGGCAGCTTTGGATGCAGACAGACAGCGCCAGGGAAGGAAAACAGGGAGGCCGGGGGCAGCCGACCCACACTGGAAGAGAGAGAAGCTTCCGCCTGCCTTCGAGTCCATGCCCAGGAAGTGCTGGTACCAGGCAGAGCTGTGCCAGCCGTGCTGAGTGGACTGCTCCAGGAGGGGAGACGTGAGAGGGGGCAGGAGTGTGGCCCAAGGGCTGCGGTGTGGGTGGCGCAACGCCCCAGGCCAGAGGTAGCAGGACGGCCACGGGAACGTGCGCGACAAGGAGCAGGACACTTACCCTATTAAAATCTAACAGACGCTCTTCATTACTGGGCATCTCTTTAACGTCTGGCAATTCTTCTAGACCATTCTCTCCCTTGGCATTTGTACAACACTCTTATCGTTTTGAATGGAGAAGGGAAGAGAGGGAAAGGGGGAAATCCCATTAAGACACGGTTATGCAGCACGATCCTGTCCACTCCCGCGGCACAACCCCGTGGCCACGGGGCACGACTCTTCCGGACTGTCCCCAAATGCCTCCCGGGGATGCCACCACGAGTGCCTTCAGACCCGGGCTGGGCAGCATCTGGGACAGGTCTACAAGCACAGTGGGGCCCGGCAGGCTGACAGCCCCGTGAGACTCGAGGCACCAGCCTCTTCCACAAACCACGCCCTGCTCTCAGCAGGGAGAAAGGGCTCCTGGGAAGGACAGGGAGGCTGGCGCAACGACAGGGTTTGTGGCCGGAAGGCGGAGGGCCCCGCCCCACCCCACAGCACAGCACCCGGCTGCGACCAAAGAGGCGCTGGAAGAGAAGTGGGGGACGCAGGAGAGCGAGTGGCCGGGGGACTCCAGTGCGGGGCCCAGGGCAGCTCGTCCTCCAGGCCAAGGACCCCCGTGCCTGCCGCAGGGGCCCTGGCGGAGATGAGCCTGAACCGAACATTTCACCTGCTTCCTGCACGTGCTCTGGACTTAAGGGGGGAAGGGTTAAAAATTTTTGTTCTTGAGCCACCCCTGGCAGTACTCAGGACTCCTGGTCTGCACTCAGGTGCTCCTGGCAGGGCTCACCAGGCCGGCTGCAGCAAGGGCGCTGCTCACTGCACTATCTCCCATGCTAAAAGCTTGGAGGCACCACCTCAGTGCCCTGTGCCCGTGTGACTCAGCCTAGGGGCCATGCCGCCTGTCTCCTTGTGACAACTGCCCATCATAAGCACAGCGGCTGGCGCCTCGGCACCCGGTCCTTTGTGTGGAGACACACCTGGTCCGCAATGACCTGACCAAGCCCTTGGCTGTCCCTGTAATGCTGGGGACTGGGAGGGGGTGGGGGCAGTTACAGGAAAGCGACTATGTCCTGACATCTGCTCACAGCACAGAGGACCCTCCCTCCTGGCCATACACCCCTCTTCTGGCTCAGAAATGCCAAATGTCCGTCCGTCCTGTCCCTGCCTTAGGGACACACAGCCTGAGGTCACACCCTGTCCCTGCTGTAGGGGTCACAGCTTGAAGTCCCCACTGCTCAGGGTGCGTGCACACAGAAAGCCCTAACACATTCCCCACTGACCATCCAACCGCACAGAGCTGACAGTGCCCCAACACCCAGGTGGCCCAGAGCTGGGAAAGGGCTGTGGCCTCACCGTGCAAGGGTCTCCTGCCCCTTGTGTGGTCCCTCCTACAGTGGTCACGGGATTGGTGCCCTCCTCTGAGGCCTTCTCCGGGCCACCTGGCAGGAAGGCAGGGGCACTGACTGCCCTCATGCCCACAGTGGGAGTGGCGGCCTCTGTCAGCGACTGTGCAAAGTGTCCAGACCCTACTGCTGGGCCACACTCTCCCTCCTGGCTTCCCTGGACACTGAAACCACCTTCCTATACTTACGCCCACTAAGCACGTTCTTCTAGATGCAGGCCGACTGGCCGAGTGTCGCACTGGGCACGTGCGGAACTGAACTAGGGAGAGTCAGGGCGACTCTTGTAGTGGTGGCCGGGGTCACAGGGCCGTGCATAAACAGCCTGGGCAGGAGACAGCAGGGCTTCTGAGAGCCACTTCTCCAGGGCAGAGAAGAGAACTGGCCTGGGTGCCGGGCAGACACGCTGGACGTGTGCACTCCCCCAAGGCGGTCTACGTGCCCCACCGCGGCTCAACAGGATGTGTGTGTGGGGGAGGGGGAGAAGGCTTCCAGCAGTCCTGTCCAGACAGAGAAGGACAGTACAGCTAGCAGTCAAGCTCTGGCACTAACCACTGGGGCCCCACGCCATGGATCGAGCACAAGCAGCTCTGGACGCTCACGAGTCTGCTCCTGCCACAAGACAAGTGCGCCCAATTCCCCTGCAGAGTTGCCTCACCCGCGGCCCCGGCGCCCATCTGAAACACTTGCAGGCCCATCTCCGCACACAGTGCCTCCCGCAACTGCTCCTCAGCCCGCCCTCGCGGTCTTGCTGCAGGCCTCCCCCATCGGGCCGAGCTTCTGGCGCGGAGGGCCCCCTTACCTTCGCACTCGGATGCAGGGAACAGCGGCGAGTACAGGGCCTTCTCCCACCAGCTCTGCTTCTCTGGGCGTCTGGGGGCGCCGAGCTCCTCAGTGTGCAACACGGGCAACTGTGCGGACAACACAGAGGAGGTCACACTCTGAGGAGGTAGAGGCCCAACACCCACCCGGGCCACAAGCACGTGCTCGCCAGATGGACTGGCCTCCTGCCGCTCTCCACAGGCGAACAGGAACTGCGGCACAGGCTCTTCCCAGGAGACTGCAGTGAATGAGGCTGAACCCCGAGCCCAGAGGCCCCCCGAGGCCCATCCTCGCCCCTGACTGGGTGGGGAGGCTTATCTGTCTCTGGGACGGCGAGGGCTGAACAGAGTCTGTAAGCCAGGGCCGCGCTGTGTGAGGCCAAGCAGAAGGCTCGCGGACGCTGGTGGCCGGGACACGCACGGCCTCTGGGATGGACTCTTAACCCTTCGGGCAGACCGCTCACTCTGTCTGAAATCGCCGTGTTCAGGTGCAAAGGAGCTCTTCCTGGGGTCTGGGCTCAGTAAGGAAGCGGCCGCAAGCCCAGCGCCAGGCAGGAAGCGACCCTGAAGGCCTGGCTGCCACTGAGTATTTTTTAATTCATCTGTGTTTCTTTGGTGGGGAGGGTTAACTAAATGGGAAACACTTCAAGCTTTCATTTGCCCTTAACTAGTTATTCAGAAATTCTAAATTAGAAGCTAAAATTCATTCCCTGGGGAGGGCGGTCGGTGACTGTCCCAGTTCCCTTCTCTAGCTCAGACACACGCTCAATCCGTCGTGAGTGTGGGAGATGGCTCCTTGGGCTGAAGCGTTCGCCGGCGTGCCGGGGGAGCAGGCCTGACCGAGCAACTGCTAAATACCCTCCCGAACCCCAGGAACAGGGCATGAGAGCGGGGCGGCAGGCAGGAGCCAGCGCATCCTCACGCTGGGGGACAGCAAGGCGGGCACACTGGACAGAACAGTCCACCTCTGCCGCAGCTCAGCGGGGAGCCAGGGCGGGAAGCAAGGACAGGCCTGGGGCTGCAGGAGGGTCCCCCCTTCCAGACCTCAGCAGCAGGGCATGGAGGGGCACAGCTGGGAGCCACGGGGGCTGGGTCCAAGTGAACAGACAGATGAGTCCCTCAGGGCTGGCGAGACCCCACAGAAGCGTCTCCAGGGCTCAGTCCTGCTGGGGCCAAGGCTCAAATGGTCCCTGTTCGATGTTCACCCCCGCGGGAGGCACTCATCCTCCTGACACGCAATGAGTGACCACCGCTGTTTCCGGACTGGCCCTTTCCACCCTGTAGGATGCAAAATCCCCAGGTGCTGGCCAGGTGGATGAAGGGTGGAGACAGGAGCACACAGCCCCTCCCCGCCCCGCCCCGGCCAGGAGAGGCAGGCCTGACTGCGCTGATGGCCACTCCAGGCTCTGTCCCCTTCCCTCCTGGACGGCACTAGCCGATGGCCTCCCGCTGCTGCTCTGAGCGTTGCGTTACATCCGCACCCACAGCAATGAGTGGAGGGGACACACGATGGGCCCCACCGCTGCCCCTCGAGCCAGGGACCACAACACCCAGGTCCAGCGGCAGAGGCTGGCTCTGTGGGGGTGTGCCCGCAGAGGGGAAAGACAGGGCTGTGATCAAGTGCCACGACAGTGCCACGCCAAAAGCGGAGAGAAACGGGGCACGCCCCTGTTTGCCACGCGGGAACTGTCTGGAGGAGAGGTGCGCTGAGGCTGCTTGCTGCGAGGGCACTTCCACCGTGCTCAGGCCAACGACTCACCAACTTCACTTAGAGCCAACTGTCCACAACTCGGCATTCATTCCTCCTATACTAATTCGAGGGCAAGAGGGCGAGAGTCCAGTCCTGCTCCCACAGAGCCTAGACCTCAGTGACAGACCAGCACTAGATCCTCAATCGATGTGTGCCGATGAACAGAATCACACTTCAGGCCCTGTGCTCCAGGGTACCGGTTCGGATGGAGTCTGACACTTTGTCCCTCTTACTCTGGAAGAGGTGGGCAAGGGAGACCCCGCGAAACAGGGCTCTCAGACCCACATCAGGACTGGCTGGGAGCACCAGCAGAAGTTCATCCCAGGCTCAGCCTGGCCCCAAGTTCCTGCGAGGGAGCTCGGGAAGCGACGCTGGCCAGAGAGCAAGGCCCGCGGGAGTTGCCCTGTGGATGACGGACAGCCCTGGGGCTCTGGCCATGCCAGAGAACCGGGAAGCTGGTACCACATACACATCAACAGGCTAGAAGATGGAGTGGCACAAGGGAGACTCCCGCTCCTTTCTCTTCCCTTCCTCCCCAAGTACACAAAGGAACACCGAGGGTCCCACGTGGGACAAGAGACAGGCGACAGGCCGGCAGTGTCGCTTTCCCTCCTGAGCAGTTCCAAGCTCAGCGCTTCCGCGGGATTCAAGCCTCCTCTCCTCACGGGTCTCTGGGTCCAGCTGACCACGACAGTGGCTCTCCTGCTGCCCCCCACCGAGGGCACAGTCCTCTCCCGGATGAGCACGCACAGCCCGTGTCCACAGGGAGCTGCTCGGCTGCAGAGCAAAGGGACAGAAACCACTCAAGCGACAGAAGCACACAGGCAAGAGGTGGCATCAAGCACACGGAAATCAGGGAGAGAAACGATTTCTGATGTGGGGTGGGGCTGAGCAGAGAGACCCAAGGGACGCTGTCAGGGAGGGCAGACATGGGGGCGCGCAGAGAGCACCAGGCAGGGGGCCAGCAGGGAGCCTGCTTCCTCATGAAGCAGGTCACTCTCCTAAGTGCCACTTCTCCCAGTTGCCTCGGTCAGAGGTCACCTTGTCTCCCATTAACAAAACCACAGGGATCTCCTAGGGATTCTCCTAGGGCAGGCTGTAATGTGCACTAGAGAACTTGGAATTCTATACAGAGGCAGTTCACAAGACACGTTTTAATAAACGGGCGCCACTGGCTGGGGCAGGGCTATCCCCAGCACTGTCCGTGGGGGCGGTGCAGTGCCTGAGCTCCCATCCCTGCCCTGCCCAGCCCGGTCCAGGCTGCTCCTCCACCTCCTTCGCTGAAGCAGCTTCTGAAGGACACACTAGTTTCTGGAGAGAGAAGAGGCGCTTCCTGATGCGTCTACTTAGGGAGCTGCAACACTTAGCCATTATGGGGCTGCAGCAATAGCACAGCGGGCAGGGGTAGGGTGTCTGCCTTGCACATGGCCGACCCGGGTTCGATTCCCAGCATCCCATAGGGTCCCCCGAGCACCGCCAGGAGTCATTCCAGGAGTAAACCCTGAGCATCGCCAGGTGTGACCGAAAAAGGAAAAAAAAACCCAGCAATTAGGTTTCACTAAGCAGAGTACATGCCTGTTCGGGCAATATTACTGCGAGGTTAGACAGATGGTACAGGGGGTTAAGGGGCTTGCCTTGCATGTGGCCAACTCTAGTTTGAATCCATATGATTCTAAGCATGGCTGAGCACCCCAGAAATGATCACTGAGCACAGCTGGGCAGGGCCCAAGTATTTAAAAAGGAATTTTTAATTTCCGTTTTTAAAAATACCTCACCTTTGATTCATTCTAAAAAAACATCTTTTCTGTTTAGAAAATACCTGTCTAGGCACTCACAAATAAATCTCAGAGGAGATCAACAAGCTGCAGAGATGCCTCCAGACTCCAAAGTCAAAAAATTTAACTCCAGGGAAAGGGTGTTGCTCCCTTCCGCCTTTTTCCCCACCGGCAGCAAGATGGCCGCTGCCTCAGAGCTTATAGGAAAGCCAGGTATGAGCTGGCGGTGATGGAGCAACTGCAGTCTCATGGGAAGGGGGGTGGTACTGGCTCATCCTTCACGCCCTACCGAGGTCACGAGTTGCCCCCCACGAGTAGCTCTCTGGCACAGCCATAACATCAGACGCACAGAAACCAATCTTGTAATGATCTGGCTCTTTGCAGAAGTCCAAAATCATTATATGACATTATATGATTCTTGTACTAGCTATATAAAACAAAGTATTTCACAATGCCTTTTCAGCAGTTCTGATTGTTTGGGGGGAAATTCTAAACAATAATGGTGCATCTTTTGTTGAAATAATGAATGTAATCAATGTAGAGAAGAGTTAAGTAGAAATCATCTGCCTCACAGGCATTGGGAAGGGTGGGAGGCGGGTATATTGGGGTTCTCGGTGAAAAATGAGTACTGGTGAAGGGAAAGTGTTTGATCATTGTATGACCGAGACAAACCCGAAAGCTCAGTAACTTTTCCCACAGTGATTCAATAAATAAATATAAGAAGAAGAAAAATAAAATTGTGAAAAAAAAGGTAGCGTTCATGCCCAAATCAATCAGCTAATCAGTGACTGAATAAATAGCAGTACTCCCACATAAAAAAATAAGGTAAAGGTAAAGGTAAAGGCCCTCCCGTTGATCATCGATTTGCTCGAGCGGGCCCAGAAAAGTCTCCATTGGAGACTTTGTTGTTACTGTGTTTGGCATATTGAGTACGTCACAGGTAGCTTACCAGGCTCTGCCGTGCGGGCGAGATACTCTCGGTAGCTTGCTGGGCTCTCCGAGAGGGGCGGAGGAATCGAACTCGGGTCGGCCATGTTGGCTGCGTGCAAGGCAAACGCCCTACCGCTGTGCTATCACTCCAGCCCCATAAACACAGAGGGTATGACTCAAAAACAAGCAAAATTTCAGATTATTTGGTAGTGCTTGATGGGGTCTCCTATCCGAGACCTTGTAATTCCACTAAGTGCATCTCATTATTTACAACAAAGTGAAATTTTATGTGTCCAGATACGGTTCTAAGAATCGAACCCAGGACATACATGTGAATGTTTGATACATGTGAATCTTGCACTCTGGTAGTGAGCTGCATCCATAGCCATAAAAAATAAAATGAAAAAAATATATATACACACACATACACACGTTAGCACACAAGGCTAAACCTGTAACAATATGCGATTTCTTATACAAGGGCTTAGTGGCTCCAGAAAAGTTTTTCCTAACTTAGAGAACTTAGAAAAGTTTTTTCTAAGGAAGCTTTTTTGGATCGTTTTTAGTGATTATTCATAACAAGCAATACAAAGTAAATTATCTAGGGCCTACTACTGGGGAAGGCTTGGGTGGTGGTTGGGAGAATTTGAAATAAGCCGTGGGAAGGTGCGATGGTGGCAAGACCAATGTGGTGCAGGGGAAGAACGTCTGAGCTCTTTTCCCTACACCTTAATCCCCTTCCTTGCGGCTCCTGGACCAGCGGCCCGACGGGGCACCCGGACACACCACATACCTCTCCCAGCTGGACTGAAGACACCGGGTTGTCTTCATACGCAGGAAACTGACACCCTGCTCTGCAACTGCAAAAATGACTCGCTTCCTCCTCACACTGCGCCATTATTTTACAATTTGCTTCTGAGCGTTCCACTTCAGTCTGCAGAGACTCGTTCAGGCTGCACTCCAAACACGGACTCTGCTTCCCTGCAAGCAGGATCCCGGAGGACTCCTCCTGCGAATCCAGGGAGGTCTGCGCACTCTTTTCCATCCCAGACTTCTTTAAGCGAGGAAGGAACTTCCCGGACTCGAGCTCCGTCTTTCCATAATAATGGCCTTCTTTCTCTGCATCTTCTTCCAGGGGTTTGAGATCCGCCTGGGGATCTTCAAATGTGTCAACTTGAGAAGGAATGGGAATATTTGCTTCCTCTTTCTCAGATTCAAATTCCGACTCACTCCCCCCACCTGGCGACAGTTCGGAAGCAGAAATTGGGCGGAAGTGAGTCCGAGGGGAGATCCGAATAGCCCTGTACTGTGTTCGGTCGACGCCACATATCCTGGGATGCAAAACTTCGCTGTCGGAATCAGAGCAGAGGATTGACTTCGGTTTGAAACTAGGGCTGAAAGAGGCAATCCCTTCAGGCTCAAAGGAGCACTCCACATGAAGAACTTGTGAAAATGGATTACTTAAGTCAAAGGAAGAGAATGAATATTCAAGTCCGGGATCTTCAACTTGGAAGTTACCACAGGCTCCGAGGAAGTCTTCATGGAAGATAAAAGAAAATCCCTTGTTTAATCCGTTCCCCCCTGTGGTTTTCGGCGGATCATTCGGTTCCAATGACACGAAGGGTTTCCATAGTTGCCTGTGTCCAGGAGCGAAGCTGTTTCCTGGGGCCATGAAGACGTCTGTGCCCGCTATCGTCACCACATCAGAAGCTGCACATTGCAGCAAACTTCCCTTTGTGTGACCGGGTGGTACCAGCGCCCACTCCCCATCGCTATGGAAAGGTTTGAATTCTCCATAAACTCCTCCGAGAATAAACGCACTTTCTTTCTCCTCAGCCACGTCCCAGGGCTTCGAGGGGGTGGTGTAATCACCTCCGTCCACCTTCGACAGCTCCCCGGAAACAAAAGCCCTTTTCTCCAGGGTGCCTCTCTGGCCCTCCCACAGGCGGTACTCGGACCTCTGCACGGCCCTCCGAGGCTCCTGGAGGGCCTCGGTCTCCACTTCGGCATTCAGGCAGCAGCAGCAGTTATTGACGTCTGTGGGGAATAGCTCGTCGCCCATTCTCTCTCTGTCCCCCTCAAAGACAGAATTCCTATCTGCCATCTTTGTCCAAATCTCTTTGATCACCCCTGAGCTGTAGCCCCCTCCGGGAGGGCTGCCTCCGTGACACACCTGTGTCGTTTCAAAGGGTTTATTTTCCGTTTTTTGTTCTAGCTGAATACCACAGACAGATTCTAGTTTCGATCTGTTTTTGAAAACTAAGGTAGGAATTTCTCCTAAAGTTCTACTATTTTGCTGGCAAGTTTCGTCCTGCAAAAAATCTAGAAGTTCTTCATCTACATAATTTGAGGAAACACTAGGAACTACATAATTAATATCTTCTGCATTAAACTGCGTGGATTCTTCGAACTGAATATTCAATGTCTCGTTGTCTGAGCGTGTTTCTTCTGAATGGGACCACGGGCTACAAGTCCTTGTTGAAAGATTAGAACAGTGTTCATTTTCTTCAAAGGCACTATTTTTGGTCCATATTAGCAGCCTAGACTGCGTTTTCCCAAGCATATTAGCACTAGAATCCGTATTTTCATTTCCCAAGTTGAGTGTTTCGAAAGAAAAAGGTAAAACAGAATTACTGCATTGCACTTCAAACACTGAAAAACAAGAGTTTATACCAGATCCTTCATTAATATCTGCAAAGAGCTCTTGATTGCCAGCAAGCAAATGTGGACTGAGCACTGCACCGTCCAAGACGGGGGAGAGTCGAACGGGAGAGTCTCCTCCAAAACTCTCTCCGTCAGCATCTCCAGAGCTGGACGAACAGCACTCCCAAAACTGAGCCAGGTTGCCGAGGTCTTGCAGGAAGAGCCCCTCGGCCCCCACGGAGCTGGTACGATCTGTCCATATTGCACGTTCCCCTTGCACCTCCATCCCATCTAACACTATGCAACATTCTGCCTCAAAATCTGTTTTCTCTTTGCTTTTTTGTCGAATCATATTCAATATCCGACTTTCTCCTTGCATTGTCTCTGAGGCACCAGGATCCAACATGGATTGATCAATATCCACTTCATAGAAGTGTGTTAATTCTGCTAGATGAATATCATCCAAGTAATTGTCGTCCTCTGTCAGAGAACAGAACGAGGTCCCCGTGAGGGCGATGTCCTCATTCAGAAGCGCAGGCATTTCTACAAAGTGACCATCGATGAAAGTGCCTGCTGCGAGGTATGTTGGCTGGGCGTCGTGGCCGCCGGCGCGGAGACCCTGCACTGACTCCGACAGCCCTCCCGCCACCTCTGCCGCCAGATCACTTGAGTCCGGGCAGCTCCGGTATGTGGTCTCCAGTTTACTTTTCCTGCTCAGAGGAACAAAGTACTCGGCAATGGGCTCGGTGTACCACAGCGGCTCCTCCTTGTACTCGCGGTCACTCCTGCTCTCCGCAGGTAGGTCTCGGCCCTCGCTGCCCCCAGCGTCCTTCCTCCCGGCGTCCTTGAACAGTCTCTGCCCCCGCTTGCCAGCGGCGTGAAGGCTCCGCTCCACCTTCTCGCCGTGTGCCAGGGGAAGGCGGCCTTGCCCGTGCCGCCCTTTCTTGCCGCGCACTTCCCGTGTCTTGTGTCTTACTTTCACACACTTGGTGGATGCTTTGAATTCACCCTGGTTGCCGCTGGAACTGGAGCCGGCCTCGCTCGAGCCAGAGGACCACGATCGCGGGCGCACCTTTCCTTCGGCTCTGTGCCGGCCCTGCTTCCGGTACGGAGCAGGTTTCTCCTCTACGGTGCCGCCGCTGGCCTTGTTCTCTCTCTCGTTTCTGCTCCGGGCTTGCTCCTGCGTGGTGGCAGGGGCCGCACTGCCCCGTTCCCGGGCGGCTTCCCCTTCACTGTTGCAGTCCTTGGGAGAGGACGTCCCAGTGCTCGCTGGGGGCGCTGTGGATGACGACGAGGAGCTAGAGTAAGAACTGACTTTGGACTTGTTCCACACGGTCATGATTTCCTGCAGGCAGACTGGCTTCTCGGAAAGGGGTGGAAATGCTTCATAGTACCTGAAAGAGTGAGAGGCCAGATGTGGGTGCTCGTGTGCACTCGGTACAGGAAGTCCCCACAGTCAACCAGAGCAAGTGGCATTGCATCTTTGCCGCCAACATTCTCATCAACCGAAATTTACATCAGTTTTTAATCAACCAATAATAGAGTAAAATAGGCTTTACATTTGACCCTATGCACCAAGCACGGAGACATGTAACAGAATATTAAGAGAAGAGGAGGAAACGTTTTTTCGTGTGGGGTTCTTTTGGGGGGGGCGGGGACGAGAGAGCAGGTATTGGGTCACCACACCCAGAGTTGCTCAGGGCTCACAGCTGGCTCTGCACTCAGGAATCAATCCTGTGGATGTCCTGGGAACCATATTGGGGTGCCGGGGGTGGAAACTGGGCCGGCCATGTGCAAGGTCAGTGCCCTCCCCACTGTACTATCTCCCCGGCTCCAAGGTAGCAATGTTTATCTCCAAGGTCTGTTTTGAGATGTCAAAAGCGAAAAAAAGAAGTCAAAAGTGATAATGCAGTGAGAAGAATATAATTTTCTGATATGAAATTGTCTTTCATGTTTGGTTTTCGGGCCAGCCTGAGCAGTGCTGACCCAGGGTTGGGCTCAGGGCATACTCGTAGCTGGATCAGAGGATCATACAGGGTGCTGGGAATCAAACTTGGGGTGTGCAAGGCTAGTGTCCCACCATCTGAGCTATCTCTGCAGACCCAAGAAACGTCTGAATTTTAATCTCATCTCAGCTACGTAGTAGCTGTGGCTTTAAGATATTCTATAATGACTTGGTCCACTGCTCAAGTGAAACGGCACTGTGAGCACAGGAAAGGGACCAGAGCAAAGGACAATGATAGGGCACCTGGTCCCAGCATCATATACGGTCCCCTGAGCCCCACCAGGGTATGATCCCTGAATGCAGGACTAGAAGTAAACTCTGAGCACCGCCAGGTACAGCCCCAGAACAATACAGAGCATACCTGGGCATGACCCAAAGACTTTAAAAAAAATTTTTTTTCAGAGCAGGAGAGAGAGCCCAAGAACTGAGAGTCGGGTTGGCAAGTGGGGGCTGTGTTCTGGAGCTGCCCGTCACGTGGTTCCTTTCCAGGAGAGCCAAAGAGGTCCAGTTTTGTAGCGAAATTTACATATGTAATTTTAATGTTCTGGCATCAATTTTAAAACAAAGTAGAAACAGGTGAAGCTGATTTCAGTAATACAATTTACTCAACCAAACATGTCCATGATTTTATTATCTCAACATGTGACAGAGAGAAGGCGGAGGCGAGGGGGGAGGGGTGCTGAGAGGTGGTGAAGTGTCACACATAAAGACCTCTCAGGAACAGCTCTGTCAACCACAGAACCCTGAAATTTATTTTTCAAAGTGCCTGTCATAGAGGCAGGCTGTTAGGTGGGAACAAAACTGAGGATACTGGTGGAGGGCCATGGACGCTGATGAGGGGACTGGTGCTTGGTTGAAACATTATATGCCTGAAACCCAAACATGAACAACTGTAATTCATTGTGACTTATATGAAAAAGAAAATATTAAAAAACATGTAGTCAATACTAAGATCTAACAATGCAACATTTTATATGAAGTCTTTGAAATCTGGTGAGAAGCACACTGATAAACATTTGAAGTATTTTCTCTGTTTTGTTTTGCTCTTTGATTGCGGGCCACACTTGGCAGGTTCAAGGGATCACGTGTGATGCCAGGGATCAAACTCGGGTCAGTGACATGGAAGGCAAGCGCCCTCCCCACACACCCTCTTCCTGGCCCCGGAAGTAGCTGGATCGCAAATGCTCTCCACTCACTAGGCCTTGCTGCCATGGTGCACAGCACGTGTCTACAGAAGCCAATGTTAGTTTCCCATTTTATGTTAGGAGTTCAGAAGATCCAAAGAAATCGTATACTAAGCCAGTCTGCTGCTGCTGCTACAGATTCTAATATTGATGGCTCACAAAGAAAGAAGTAAGCATCTTCAGGAAGTCAGCCTGACAAGGTCAGTGCATTACCCATGTTCCCCACCCAAGCAGGAAGAAACAGGTTTCCCTGGGTATGAAACAAGGTTCAGCAAAATCCCTCCAAGCTGTAGCAGGCCTGTGAATTTCCGACGTGCTCAGCAGCAGAGCTGCGAACCATCAGTCAACTTGTGCTTTTCATTCATTTCACAAATTCTGACTCGGGGCTGGAGAGAGAGTGCAGTGGGGAGGGCATCTGCCTGGCATTCAGCCAAGCTGGATTCGATGCCCAGCACCCACTATGTTCTGATAGGAGTAATTCCTGGGTGCAAAGCCAGGAGTGACCCCTGAGCATCACTGGGTGCAACCCAATAATGAAAAACAAAAAAATTCTGACTCAGTATGTACAAGGATAAAACCATCTTACTCACCTTTGAAATTTCATTACCAGAAAACATAAATGCTCAATAATGATTCCTAAGTTACAAAATATGACACTAAGTAGAAGACGACTGCAAAGACTGAATCCAATAAGCATCCACCCGATTTCAACAAATGCACACTTTTTATCACTAAACTCAATTATACATACATTTCCACCTGATCCTTCGCTGTTGGGGATAATTCTGCCTCTGGAGAGGGAGAGCCCTCTAACTTTTTGTGAATCTTCTCTTCTGTTATAAAACAAAAATGCAGAAAGATTTGTTGTCTCATATCTAGTTGATCAGTGCTTCTGTTTCTTACAATTTTGCAAGTAAAATTTCAATCAAAAGTTATACGGACTTTTCTGGATTAAAAAGCACTCTATATGACTTTGTCATTTTGAATCCTTACCATAGTTAATGTGTCTACAACGGCGTTGTCATTCATGTCTTGGTATGCACACTTACCTCAAAACCCAAACGTGCCAAAGCCACCTTTGTGTGTATGTATGCAACGCAAAATAATCTGTATTAAAAGCAATTTACTTAGAGGTGAGGGGAAAGAGAGGAATGTTTATTCAAGAGATACGGAGGGGGAGGAGGAGAGAGGGGAGAGAGAATGGAGAGGCTGGGGGAAGGGAGAGTGCGTGTGCAGGAGAGGGGGAGGGAGGAACAGGGAGAGAGGGAGAGGGAGAGACAAAGAAAGAGATGTTCAGGAGAACCCGGGCTTCAGGAAGAAAGCAAACGTCCTCCTGGTATGTGGGGTCTTCTCTGGCTACAGCATCAGTGTGGGCCTAGGTGAGAGGGGTCCATCTCTGCACTGACCCGGTGCTCTGAAGGCGCTTGACCTGGAGTCCGAATTCCCTGCATACTGATTAATCGCACCTCAAGAAACAGACAGGGGCTGGAGCGATAGCACAGCGGGTAGGGCATTTGCCTTGCACGCGGCCAACCCGGGTTCGATCCCTGGCATCCCATATGGTCCCCCGAGCACTGCCAGGAGTAATTCCTGAGTGCAAAACCTCTGAGCATCGCTGAGTGTGACCCAAAAAGAAAAAAAAAATGGAAGGAAGGAAGGAAGGAAGGAAGGAAGGAAGGAAGGACGAACGGACAACCATCTGGATTCTAAAAACATTTTCTCACAAAATTCTGCCCTCCTGGACTTCCTCCTGACTGGTGTAACCTGCGCAGAAATTCTTCATTTGCAGATCTCTCTGTTCCTCACCCGACAGGGGAGCAAGTGTGTGGGTCCCCTAGAACTGAAGAGTCTTAGCTCACAAGGCCGCCTGACGTTGAAGCAATGACCCGAGCACGAGTAGGAGGCTCAGGGTTTGGGGGTACGAAGACACAAGCATCGCTTCTTCCCTGAGGACACTGAGCCACGCGGAAAATGCGAAGTTAAGGAACAGGGTAAGAAGAGGCAAAGCTAGGAACGAAATACCGGGCACAGTGATCCCAGAATGAACAGCTCTGCATGAAAGCACCTGGGGGGAAGCGGCTACTCCAGGCAGGGCGCAGACAGGCGAGGCAGCCCAGGGACACTAACTGCACGGGACGGTCATCGCCAGCTCTCACCTTGCTTACTCTGAAGGTCCTTCAGTCTGGAGCAGAGTTCCTCCACCAAAGTCTCGATGCCAGAGCTCTGCAGGAGAAGAGACACAGTTAGCGTGGCCTCCAACTCAAACACCTGCCGCAGCTCCAAGGTCTCACGAATCTTCCACGTGCCTGAAGAGTCACGTGACCAGTATGAACCAAAAGTGTGCCAGCACTCGCTGATGAGCCAGCTTCCCCGAATGGCCCCTGTCTTCCCTGGGGTACTGCGGATGATATCAGGCTCCAGAGGCCAAGCAAGGGCTGCAGCCGCCGCCACCATGTGCCGAGCCCAAGCGCTCTGTGCCACACTCCGGCCCTGGGAAACTCAGGCCCTGTCTGCGTCCACGCGCAGCCTAAGGAACACAGGTGACACCCTCTCCGCCTTCCGGGAACAAACACTCAGCTGCAAGGGAAAAAACAAAAAACGGATATGGTGCCCGGGCTGGAGGAGAGAGCTTGAAGGGGCACCTGGGGAGGCCTGAGGTCCTAGGGATTGGGGGTTGAAGCAGGGAGAGTGACCGACCCGGAGGACGAGAGGAAGAGGTGGAAACCTCACAGGATGTCATCTCTCCCTGCGTCGCCAGCACGAACGCCCCTTTCTCAAACAGAGGGGAACCTTGGACGACACGCAACAAGAGCGGAACCAGAAACTGCCGATTAGCCGGACCCGAGTCTGTCTCGGGGGTGGGAGCGGGGGCATGGCCCAGACGCCTGCGCAGGACTCTGCCCACCCACACCGTCCTCTGAGGCCTGGAGGAGCTAAGAATAGAACCCTGCCCCGCCGCGCACTTCACCAAAGTGACTCAGCACAAGGATCCCAGCTATCTGGGCCAGGAGCCCCACGGCTGCGCAGACTGAGCAACAAGAAACAGATTAGAAGAGCAAGTTAGTTGTAAACACTGACAGCGACACGCCATTCACATCAAATCCCAGCTTTCAGGAGGGAGACGGGCGGAGCAGAAAGAGAAGCGGCCCGAAGGGCACCGGCCTTTCCCCTAAGACGCTCAGGCGCGTCGGGGAGCAGCTGGCGACAGTCCGACTCCCCATTCCATCCCGAGGACTCTGCTTACCATAGCGTTGGCCGGGGAGCGATATGCCTGCTCCACTCCACTTCCTCTGGTCATGAACCCAACACCCGCATCAGCTGACCCGCAGCCACACGCCCCTGCGGACAGCAGGGCCGTCACTGTTTCTAAACCTGGTGCCAGGCTCCCGAGCAGAGAGGGAGCCTGGGCACAGCGCCGCCCCTCGGGCTCAGGCCCGCACAGGAGCCGCCGGGACTCTCCCAGGCTAGGCCTCCTCCTTGCAGCTGGCAAGCTGAGCAGCCCCCCTCGCTCTCAGGAAAGCAGGCCCCTTGTCCCTGGCCATGGACAACACCCGATCCTTCAGCCCCTGAGAGGACGGGGGCCCACCGGGTCCGAGCAAGAGCTCAGTGGGAGGCACGCTGGCCTCGAATGCAGTCAGCTGGGGTTTGATCCCCAGCATCCCACAATGTTCCCGAGTCTGTCAAGGGAGATCACTGAGCACAGAGCCAGGAGTCACCCCTGAGCATTGCAGGGCGTGGCCCAACGCAGAGAGAAAGGAGGAGGGGCAGCCAAAGCAGCAGCAGTGCCTCCATCTTGGGCTGGCCCGTGGGGAGCATCTTCACCTTCCCAAGTGTGTTTCTCAAGGCTAACCCTGACCCCGACCGGGTGTCACAAACACCAACGTTCTGTACAGATGACACAGCCCCCGTCCTGTTACATCCGTCTCAGACCCTTGCGTGCCCATGCAAAGATCAGCCAGAATGATCACATCGTGACAAAGTATTTAAGATGAACCCTGTTGGGGATGGAGCAATAGCACAGCGGGTAGGGTGTTTGCCTTGCACGCAGCCAACCCAGGTTCGATTCCCAACATCCCATATGGTCCTCTGAGCACTGCCAGGAGTAATTCCTGAGTGCAGAGCCAGGAGTAATGCCTGTGCATGGCTGGGTGTGACCCAAAAAGCAAAAAAAAAAAAAAAAAAAGAACCCCCTTGAGGCTTATGCATGGATAATCAGCCTAAGAAAACAGAACTGGGACCTTTCTCCTTAAAGACCAAGGAGGGGAGGGAGAAGCGGGAGGGGGGACGAAGGGAAGGGAGAGCGAGAATTCAGCATTCAGTGTTATGACTCTGCCCAGAGCAGGCAAGTGCTCTGGTCACCACGGCAAGCATCATCATGGGTGCAGTCTGCCTGGCCTGGGCAGAGGGAAGAGCAGTCCCTCCTAAAGGAGACTGCCTGGCCTGGGGCCATTTCCTAGTCAGTGTCATCTGCCCTCAAGGCCTTCACAACCCCCAAGCTCGGAAGGGCAAGGACTCCTTGGGAGAACAGATTAACAGACTACAATGAACCAGTTACTCTCAACTTCTTTTTGTTCCAACTCTAAAACTCAGATCCACTTCACCCAGTCCTAGTGAGCGTGCAGATGTGCAGTATGCCCTCCAGAGCACCCTCAAGTTTGTACGCTCTCCATCTAAAAGAGGGGCTGCTCAAAAACAACTCCCTCACCCACCATTCGCCAGGCGTCTGACATCATTCACGCCTCCCTCCTCAGCAAACAGGCAGGAGACACCCGATATGCCAGGCAGGACCCCAGCAGAGACGAATCAAGTGGCAACGCCTTCCTTTATTGTTTGGGTCCACACCCAACAGTGCTCAGGGCTTATTACTGGCTCTGCACTCAGGGATCACTCCTAGCAGGGCTCAGGGCACCTTATGGGATGCCAGGGATCAAACTTGGTTCAGCTACATGCAAGGCAAACGCCCTCCCCACTGAAGTATTTCTCCAACACCTAGAGTGACGATTCTTCCTTTCAAGAAAGTGGCTGAGCACAGAATCAGGAGTAAGCCCTGAACACGGCCACATATGGTACCACACCGCACCCCTTCCCCTCCAAAAATAATCTTCAAATTTTAGAGAAGGTGGAGTCAGAGAGACAACTGACTAGGTTTCATGCGGATCCTCCCCCAATGGAAAATTATCATAATTCACATAAGCAAGTCCGACAGGCCGAGAGCAAGCTTAGGCTGGGCTGATCCTAGGCATGGCCACCTGAGCACCACCAGGGGTGGCCAAAAACCACTGGGGAACTAAAATATTCCTGAAACAAGGGTGCAGAACAGGAGCGTGGTGCCATTCCTAGGCTGAGCAGGCAGAGCACCCTCAGAGAGCACAGACGGCACTGGGCAGCCAGGCCCCCGCAACTGTCTGGGGTGCTCATACACGTGCTCCCTCTCCAGACCGAGCAGCTCTGTGAAGGTCTTCCTCCAAGTCCCACTTTTGGGCTGGAGTGACTGGACAGCAGGCAGGGCACTCGTCCTGTACGTGACTGACCCAGGTTCAATCCCCAGCGCCCCAGATGGCTCCCCAAGCCCTGCCAGGAGCAAGCCCCGAGCACCGGCAGCTGCAGCCCCAAACAAAGTCCCACTTTTGCCATTCTGCACAGGCATCCAAGCCTGGTTTGCTCCCCCAGCATGGAATAGGCCCCCCCAATGCACCACCAGGGATCAGCTCTGAACACTGTGAGGCGAAGCCCTGAAGTCCTAAAGAAATGAACACAGCCCTTTTCCTCACAGCGCGAGAGACCAGAGGCTCTCGGCCTCAGAACCACACCTGCGCGTCCAGAGGGGCCTGTGGCCTTCCTGCTCCCGGGTCTCACTTGGCCCCAAAGAAGGGACGGGTGAACCTCCTCCCCAAACAATCCTCCTCCCTTCCAAACCTCCACCTACCCACCCGCACCTCTATCTGCATGCCATTCCTCGCGCCCTTTTCCGAAGTCAGCGAAAAGTCCATTCTTGGACCGCTCACTAAGAACTGGGCTATCCTCTGGGGGCTTCCTCCTCCACCTTCCTTCCATCCAGCCCTATAAGCTACCTTCAGAACCAGCCCAGACTACAGTGCAGAACTGGCTGACGTGAGCCGGACCCACGCTGATCCAGTGCTTGTGCTGTCAGGGAGTTTCCCAGGACGCTGGTGACCACCATTGTCATGGAGAACAACTGGCTTCAGTTATGGGGGGGTGTTCACCATTTGAGGGGCATTGATCCCTGGGGCGAAGCAGTCTGTTTATTGCTACTTGGGTGACACAGGAGCACTAGGAGCAATGGAGAGGAGTCCCCTTCCTGCTGACTGGCTAGGAGAGGAATAAAGACGACCCCTTACACCGGGAGCCCCTAGCTCACTTGAATTGGTGTGCTTCATTCCTTTGCAGGGAGGAAGGGGAAGGGGAAGCCTAGAATCCATGCAGTTCCCCTGGTTTCCTGCTCATCTGTCCAGTGCCCCCATGAAGGCCCTACAGGGACAAGGCTCCCCAAGGCCAGAGCACCAGCCTCCCTCTGGTACAGAGGCTCATTTCTCTCACCCTAAGACAGGGCCTGGTTGTGTTTCTGATCTCTAAGTCATCCCCCAAGTACTTTAAGCAGCTCGTTAAAATTATTACTCATTAGTGAAAACAAAACAGAGCCTGGAAAACAGCTCTGCACACACAGCCCCCCGGTTCAGTGCCCAGTACTCGCTGAGAAGGAGGCCCCAACTCAGCCCTGAACATCTCGACCCCCACCACTGCTGGGTGGAAGACATGGAAACGTCTCCAACCTTGGGATGGAGCAAAGAGAAGAGCCTCCTGCTCCTGAGAGGGACATGTGAATTCAGCTAGCGGTCTCCAGCATCCGTCACAGCCACCGCAAGAGTGACAACACAGAACGCACAGAATGCTCCACTTCTTTCTTTCCTGCTTTTGGGGTAACAGCAGCAGCTGCACTGGGGCTACTTCCAGCCTGATGCCTGCAGTGTCAGGGATCAAACTCGGGGCTGAGCCCGCTGCTCTGAGCCATCACCCGAGTCCTTCTCAGTTGATTTTAACTTGGTAAGATTAAAAACGATCATTATCAGAGAAAAGTGATGCAACTTTTTACTAAGGAGAAGAGTCAGAGAACAAGGACGTGATTTCCCCCACCTCTGACAGTCGGACAAAGGAAAAGCCTTTTCCTACATAGCACAGTGGAGAAACAGTGACTCTCCCTGCCTTCCAGGACCGCCTCACTAAGTTCTTTTCATCACGGCCACCCTCTAGCAGAGGACAGTGAGAACTGCAGCAGCCAAAAGCAGAGCCCGGCCCGGTGCCGTGTGCACCCACGACCACAGGTGAGCTCAGCCAGCTTGGTGTTCACGCGGCCCAACAGAGCTGGGGCACGAGTTGAGCTGCTTTTCAGTGCTTGGGCAGGAGTGGAAAGAAGATCCTTCCCAGATTAAAACTCCCTATTCACAGTTTCCTCTCAACCATGACTCAGCGGCTACTTGGGAATTTTGCCCAAAGAATCTACCTGCTCTAACCCCTCACTTAGAACAACAACAACTGTTGACATTTTTAATTCCTGTAAAAGCTCCAAATTACTAGAAAACAATCTGAGCCCTGAGAAAACAACTGAGGCCAAGAGGGTCCCCGCCCCCTTCCCTCTCAGGGCTGCTCTTCTCCACCGCAGGGCCCCAGGCGTCAGCGGGAGCTGAGGGCCATTGGCGAGGCTGGCCCTGGCTGCCACGCTCCCACCAGAGCACTCTGTGCTGCGCCCATCAGGAGTCGTGCCCATCAGATCTCCTCGGCCCTTTACGGACTCTCCGGTTGTGTGACCAGGAACAAGGATGTCGCTACCCTTTACAGTGAAAAGTAAGACTGCCACGCGAGCAGGAACCCCGGCCTGCTATTCCATGGTCTAGGAGCCAAGCAGCAAACAGAGGCAACTGGGGAGTTTGAAGCTTGGTGTGTGCGTGTGCACATACATGTGTGCATTTACCTCACACGTTCAGGGGAGGGGGAGAGAAAAGGGAGACAAGGATTTGAGCTCAGTACCGCTGCCTCTGCCAGGGATACTGAGAGGAAGGTGGGGAACCCGCTGCCCTGGCCACCAAGGCGCACGTGTGGGACACCAGAAAGCCACAGCTGCAGGTGGACGGGAGGCCACACCAGGCAAGGACACTGGTCCTCCCAGTCTCACACGCAGCATGCTGAGTCCCAAGCTTCTGGAGTCCGGGCACCCTCCCTAGAGAGTCTGTGTGCGGCCACTCAAATCCAGCTCTGCAGTATCAAGTCATCGGACGCACACCATCTCAAATGGCAGTAGAACAAAATAATTTTTGTAGTTATAATCTCAGATATTACACCTTCTAGTAAATGATAAAATAAGAGTATCTGAGGTCAGAGCAATAGTACAGCGGGTAGAATTCTTGCCTTGCACAGCCAATCTGGGTTCAATCCCCGGCACTCCATATGGTTCCCCAGAGCCCACCAGGAGTAAGCCCTGAGTGCCACAAAGTGTGGCCCAACCACCCCCCAAACACACAAAAAGAAAATACTAACAATACTTAAATATTTTTTTATTTCAATAAGCCGATTAAAAAACATATAATAACTGTGGGAAGATCAGTAAGATAAAGGCATCCAGAGAAATATTACAGAGGCACAGGAGAAAGCCCAGGGGCTCGAGCATCTGCCTGCATAGGGCCGCCCTGGGCTCCACCCAGCCCTACCAGGAGGGATCTCTGAGCACAGGGCCAGAAGCAAGCTCTGAGCAGCTCTGGGCATGGCCCAAAAACAAACAAAAAAGAAATACTATTTAGCTGGCGCTGGAGAGAGAGACAGCAGGGAGAGTGCTGGCCTTTGCACGCAGCCAACCTGAATTCAGTTCCAGCATCCCATGCGGTCCCAAAGCCACCAGGAGAGGTCACTGAGCATAGATAAGTGTGGCCAAAAGACCAAAGAAGAGAAAGAATACATAGTCCATGGAAAATACCACACCTAAAATATTCTATACAACCTAACAAAAAGTGAGGAATAAGCCAAAATTCCCTAATAAAAAGTATCCTGTATTGGTGTCAGGTTATTTGTGGGGAGACAGGAGGTCTGGATTTTGGGGCCACACCTGGCATGCTCAAGAGTGACCCGTGGTGATATGCAGAGGACTGACATACGTGTTCCAGGACTGGAACCCAGGCCAGGGCTAGTGCCTGCAAGGTGCCTCTTTTCCTGCCCTTATCTCTCTGACCCAATGTCACAACATTATCTGGTGAAAAGACTGCTTTTCCCTGTTTATCTTTAACCTCTCCTTTGTGCCTTACTCCCCCTTAGGAACAAATGTCTCCAAATCAGACACAGTAACTTGTAAAGTCAAACCTTCTGATGGCTCTGAATTTTGTATTGTTACGTTGCTTTTCTCTTCCTTTCTCTCCTGTGCATATTTTTATTTTAGAGCAATGTCCTTTTTGTACAGACACAGGAAGACAGTTAATGCTATGCTTTTGTAATACGGGAGTTAACTGACTCTGAAAAATACTTACTCTTGGGCATCCGTCATATTTACTTAAGCCTCAGCTGCCCTTAGATTGACCTTAATTCCTTACACCCTGAAAGGTGAGTCCCACCGAGGGACTTGGATAGACCTGGGGCAAGCTGTAAGCTACCCTGGCTTTGACATGAGACAGCCTAAGGGCCAGAAGATGTGTAATAGGCTAAGAACACGAACAAACTCTGTCACGGAACAAACTCTGTCATGACCCAAAAAGAAGTAACTGAATAAGGACCACATTGGGGTCAGGAAAAACTAACCTGGCCTGAGGACTGTAGTCTGGGTACTATAGCGAGATGTCCCCAGGAAGAGCCATTCAATACCAGGAGTCCAGAGAAACTATTTTAGCTTAATGTAGGGTATAAATAACAGTCTGTATCTCATACTGTGCTTATAAAAAATGACTTGAGATATTATTAAGAAGTAAATTTAAGATGATTGTTTAAATGGTTTACGAGTAAAGGAAAGGAGAAAGCAATATGCCCCTAGATGTTACGCCATCCTTAGACACATCTCTCAGAAGGAATCTGGATGCTGGAGCCCCTAGACGAAATTCTGTCCCTGGGCGTTCCCCGGAAGGAAGCGCTTTCCATCTGTTCATGTTTATATTAATGCTCATCCACACCTGTGTGTAACTGCTGCCCTCAACCCTTCACGATTCCTCTGTAACAATGCTTACAGATTTGAATAGTGTCACTGGTTACCAGCCTGTGGACCCGTCCCTTTGCCCATCAGTCGTCGGGGGGAGATCTTCGGCCCTGAACGCAGCGGGGGATGGTGACGCGGACAACTGGTGCCCAAGCAGGGCCACCTCAGACACGCCAGCACCACCAGGAGTGATCCCTGAGTGCAGAGCCAGGATAACCCCTGAGTACAGCCAGGTGTGGCCCCCCAAAATTAAATTAAACTTAAGAAGTTAAAGAGGGAAAGAATGTAAGATTTTGCACGCAATCTAATATATGTAGAAAAGAATAGACACGATGCAAAAATTACTAAAAGGTAAAGGCCCTCCCGTTGATCGTCGATTTGCTCGAGCGGGCCCAGTAACGTCTCCATTGGAGACTTTGTTGTTACTGTGTCTGGCATATCGAATACTCTCGGTAGCTTGCCGGGCTCTCCGAGAGGGGCGGAGGAATCGAACTCGGGTCGGCCATGTTGGCCGCGTGTAAGGCGAACGCCCTACCCGCTGTGCTAAGTGAGGGGAAATGCCATAAAGGAAAAAGCCCCACTGTGTGTGACGGCTGATCACCAATGACTCTCCCGGGGTCCTTTGGTCACAATGCTTTGCTCACGCCCCCCGCCCCCACTTCCCTCCTTACACAGGAAGCCGAACTCACTTCGTCAGAGGCCGAGCGGAGGCACCGGACAGCAGCCTGCTTCTTCATCTCCTCCAGAGTCAAGTCCGAGCACTTCTTCTTCCTCTTTCCCCATTTCTTGTAAGCTCCTTTTTCCCATCCCAGGAAGATGTCCTTCTCCTAGAACAGACCAGACAAGGTTGACTGACCGAGAGGCAGCACTGCCTTTCCTGGTGCCTCTGCAGACGGGCACGGGAGCACTGTCCCAGCACTCAGAGTGGCCACCAAGCCAGGTGCTCAGACTCCCCACTGATGGGGAGCACTCCCAGAGCACTGTGTCCCATCACTGAATAGCCCCGCTGGGTGCCCAGGACTGGGGTGACCGCCAGGCTATGTGGGACTATTCTTCTATTTATGTATTTTGGTTTGGGGCCACACCCAGCTGTGCTCAGGGCTTACTCCTGGCTCTGAGTCCAGAGATCTCTCCCGGCTGTGCTTGGGAGCCCATATGGGATGCCAGGGAACTGAACCCCACATTAGTCATACGTAAGGCAAACACCCTCCCCACTGTCCTACGTCTCTGGCCCCTGATATCTTATTTATGATCTTAATAAAATGTACTACTTGTAGTTGGAATATTTGTACGAAAAGGCCAAATGCTGTCATTTTGTCCCAAATTCTGTATAGTACTGCCCTTCCTCTGTATGTCACCAATTTAATGACACACATTCACGTTCCCACTTAAACTATAACATTAAACAACAGTTTAATTTCTACTCTACATGTTGCAGTCTAAAGGTCAGAAAGGAATTATTGGCTAATGTTTCAATTTTATTTTCATCCCGATCAAGTATACCCATTATAAAAATCTGAAGAGAATTGAAAAGGAGAAAAAAACACAAGATCAAGGCCAGGGGCTGGAGCAATAGCATAGCGGGGAGGGCGCCTGCCTTGCACACAGCCGACCCAGGTTTGATCCCCCGCATCCTATATGGTCACCTGAGCCCTCAGGAGTGATTCCTGAAGGCCGAGCCAGGAGTAACCCTGAGCAAGGTGAGATGTGACCGCAAAACAAAACAAAATAAAACAAAACAAAAGATCAAGGTCAGAGAGCTGACAAAGTGAGAAAGCCTTGCATACAGCTGACCGTGTGTCCACCCTGGCAGCCCACTGCATCCCCTGGCACTGTCAGGACTGATCCCGAGTGCACAGAAGCAAGCCCTGGCTACTGCTGAGTGTGGCTCCAGATAAGAAAACAAAGTTACCCATAACCCTGCAGCAAAATCTCAAACAACCAGGGTGTATTTTTTTGTTTTGCTTTTGGGTCACATCCAGCATGCTCAGGGTTACTCATGGCTCTGTACTCAGGAATCACTTCTGGCAGACCTGGGGGACAAGACGGGACACCGGGAATCGAATCCCGACGGATCACAGCTACCACAACCGGGCTTACTGGGTCATTTTTGTATGCTTAAAACAACAGAGAGACCAGAGAGACAGTACACCAGGTAGGGCACTTGCCTTGCCCGGGTTGATTCCTGGCATTGATATGGTTCCCTGAGTCTGCCAGGCATGATCTCTGAGTGCGAAAACAGGAGTGAGCCCTGAGGACTGCCAGATGTGGCAAAAAAAAAAAAAAAAAATCAGTTGTGAGGCCAGAGCAACAGTACAGCACATGGAATGACTGCCTTGAAAGCAACCAACCGGGGTTCAAGTCCCACACCCTTATGGTCCCCTGAGCACCGCTAGGAGTGATCCCTGAGTGAAAGCCAGGAGTAAGCCCTGAGCACTCCTAGGTGTGGCCCCCAAACCAAAACAACAAGAATAACCGTCAAATACACATCATTCATACACTCTTTTTTTTTATGTAGGAGTACTGCTATTTATTCAGCCACTGATTAGGTGATTGAATTGTGCATGAACTCCACCTTATTTTTTTTTCATTTTTTATAATTTTATTTATTGAATCACCATGAGAGCAGTTACAAAGCTTTCGGGTCTAAGTCTCGGTCATACAATGAAACACCCATCCCTTCACCAGTGCCCATTCTCCACCACCAAAACCCCCAGTATACCCCCATCCCACACCCTCCCCCTGCCTGTGGGGCAGATGATTTCCACATTACTCTCTCTCTACTTTGATCACATTCAATATTTCGACACCAGACCCACCATTATTATTTGAGATTTTACCCCAACACTCAGATCTGCTGAAAAGGCAACAGTAGACTATTTGTGTTCTACTGCTGGTTATGAATAACATATGATGTCACGTGGCTGCAGTAGGGCCATGTGATTTTGAAATTTTGAAATTTTAACACTTAAATCTGGAGGGATTTCTGCCAAAAGCCACTGGGTTTTGAGATCTGCTCCTGAGTCTCTGGGATCATGGCCGTTGAGCAGCTTGATGAGGAGCCAGAGAGGCCGTTCGTGGGCGATGACTTGGGGTCTCGCTGGGACGGGGAGGACAGGACCGGCTCCAGCCCCATCCTGTGAGGCCCAACGAGTTTCATCACTGCGGGCCCAACCCTGACTATCCAATGGCCTCTGGAGGATGACGGCCAATGAGCCGCCAAGGGGAAGCAGGCCGAGTGACAACACCCTTTCTCCCCTGGGGTGGCCCGGTGACAGTAACCTACTGTGGGGTCTGGACGCATTTCTGCCAAAAGCCACTGGGTTTCGAGATTTGTTTCTGAGTCTCTGGGATCATGGCCATTAAGCAGCTTGATCAGGAGTCAGAGAGACCGTTCGTGGGCAATGATTTGGGGTCTTGCTGGGGTGGGGAGGACAGGACCGGCTCCACCCCCATCCTGTGAGGCCCAAAATGTCTCGTCACTGCAGGCCCAAATCTGACTGTCCAGTGGTCCCTGGAGGATGGTGGCCACCGGGTCGCCAGGGGGAACAGGCCAAGGCACAAAACCTATTCCCACCTGGGTTAGCCCAGCACTGGTGACCTACTGCAGGGATCGAACGCATTTCTGCCAAAAACCGCTAGGTTTCAAGATTTGTTTCTGAGTCTCTGGGATCATGGCCGTTAAGCAATTCAATCAGGAGCCAGAGAGGCTATGCCTCCAATTATATAGCTGAGCCGGAGGTGGTTTGTGGGTGTGTCTCCCACATACCTAACTTTTGGCCGTTTACTTTCTTGGTAAACTTTGCCCTACGTTTTTGGGATTTGGCCAAAGGCACAGCAGCAATTTTGGGGTATCTGGAAGTCTGAAGGCGCCATCAGACTGCTGATGCACTCGCCTCACAGGTACAGACTGACCTGCAGGCGGCACCAGACCCCCTATTCATACACTTTTAACTTATACTTTAAACATTATACCTATGTCACAACAAATTGTCTATTCAGTATTTCATGATTCAGGTTCACTTATGGGACTTCAACTGATTTTTTTTTTCAACTGAATCTTTTTTAAAAGACTTTGAAGGGGGCTGGAGTGACAGCACAGCGGGTAGGGTGTTTGCCTTACACGAGGTCGACCCAGGTTCGATTCCCAGCATCCCATATGGTCCCCCAAGCACCGCCAGGAGTAATTCCTGAGTGCATGAACCAGGAGTAACCCCTGTGCATCACCGGGTGTGACCCAAAAAGCAAAAAAAAAAAGAAAAAAATTAAAAAGGCTTTGAGTTGATCGATTATGATTAAAAACCAGTGGAAAAGCAAAGGAAGAAAGGACTAGACAGACAGACAAGAGCAAAACTAAGACAATCCTGGAAAAGAGTATGGCCTACAGCAAACCCTCAAAAAACAGACAGGAATGAGACAGAATACAATCGCACACACTATCAACTTACTGTAACGTAAGATCAGCTTGCCTACATCAGACTGTCTAACCCAATCCTCCCAATTATTTTGATGGTGCCAAATAGAGACCCCCCCCTCACAATTACATCCAGTTTGCTTAAGGCAAGTTTCTAAATCCCATGAACCTGTAAAATCAAATTGCGGCTGCGTAGCATTCCCTTTGTTTTCTGAGTTAAAATGTGCTTTGTAATCGAGTCCAAATTATCAGCATATTGCATTTGCTTCCCACATCCAGCTGGGCCCTCCCTGGAGCCCCCTCTCATTTCCCTCATACTTCTAGAGATGGACTTTTTTCTGTGACAGGAACAGAGACCAGGGCCCTAACAATGAAAATGAAACGGAGCTGCTGACAGGGTGAGAATAGTGTAATTTTTGCTATCGTTCAAATGTATAAAAGAAAGCAGAAAAGGTCCTTGTGCCATTACTGAAAACAGGCTCATTCTTGGAGCTGCTGAAGCCACCGGTAGCTGGACCGAGGAAGCGCCCAGCAAAGGTCCCCATGAGGGACGTCAGCACTGGGATGGACACAGCCCTTCAGGGGGCCACTCACAAACACAAGCGCGGCCAGTGCGCCTCCCTTCTCCCTCTGGCACGGCAGGGAGGTGCGACCCATGTGCAGGAAGCCTGATGTCCCGAGACCTGGCTCAGGCGAGGGGACGGGTGAGGGGCTGGCCAAAGGGCTGGGGCACACACTCCGCATAGGCAGCTCGGGCTCCTCCCCTGCCCTACATGGCCCCCCCAAAGTTAGGGTCCATCTGGGTAATGAGATAGGCCAGTTCTTCAAGAGAGTACGCATGGCGGACTTGGAAGGTGCTGACCACAGCTGTGAGAGTCCACTGCAGCATGTTCTCACTCCAGGCCATGAGCCACACCCACAGCCAGACAGATCTTGACGGGCCGAGACAACAGGCCAAGAGTCCAAGACAGATCGTTCCCCGGAGGAATTTCCATCACCCCCGCCCCCTCCCCTTTGCTGTTAGCCCCACACATCTGTGCTCCTCACAAGCTCACACACGGTAGCTGTGGTGTGTCCCAGGCTGTGGTGCCAGGGGCCCTGTCAGGGATGGAACTCAGAGCTTAATGCCTGCCACACACACAATCTGGGTTCGAAATAGTCTATGAGGGTGAAGGCCTTGCAAATGGCCTGCCCCCACTCGATCCCCGGTACGTGATGGTCCCAAGCCCTGCCAGGAATAAGTCCTAAGCCCCAGGTATGGCCCCAAATCCTACCCAGAAGGGTGGGTGTGGGGCCGGAGCCATAGCACAGCAGGGAGGGCGCCTGCCCTGCACACAGCTGACCCAAGTTCCACCCCTAGCACTTTATATGGTTCCCCGAGCCTGTCAGGAGTGATCCCTGAGCACAGAGCCA